ATATTAAGATCGAAGAAAATATATTATCATTCTCCAATCGATGAAAACAAATTAAAAAGAAAAATCGAATATTCAAATCGGAAAAATATATTTAAAAAAATCATAGATCGATCTCTATTTATCAAGATTCGTATCCGAAAATTCTATGATTCTTTAACCAAATATCTCAGATCTAGTGTGATTTTTGAGAATGCCCGCCAATGAAATGAAGAGGCCCGCAGAAAGAAATCATCCGTCATCCGTAATCATCCGGTTTACACTCTAGTATCAACAAAGTGTTCATATCTTGCAATTTGTCCCTGGAATCGTAATGTCTGTTTACGCATGTCTCTTCGTATCGTGTGTTTTTTCTCCGCTGCTATGGTACTGATACCAACCGCAAAATCGGCCTACCTCTTCCTCTTCTTCTTTCCACTGCTGGAGCTCGACCTCATGAATTTTGAATCTGCCTGGGGGGTGGGGTTCACTTCTGGACAGTTCCCTGCTGGGGATTCCCGGGGAAATGCCCATCTAAGGCATTTGAAGCTGCTAGGAGCCCAACAACCATCAAAGTGCTAACGTCCAAGCAAGTGATGTGCAACCTCTGGGCCATCGGCGAAGATTTCTTGCGCCGTCTTTTTCTGGATCGCGACCTGCAAGTGCTCGCACCAGAAGCTCACTTTGCTGATTGGCCTCCCTTTCAACGAACCATGTTCACTGACGCAAACACTGAAAGGTAGCAGCGACACGCCTCTTCTTCTCTTTTTTATCCTGAAACGCACAAAGCTGCAACGGCTAAGCACAAGAACGACAATGTCATCCATCCGCGAGATGTCCTTGTTCAGTTCGATGCTGGCTTGTGCAACTTCGGCTGCTTCTTTCAACGCCTGCAGGGAAAGAAGGATGCCAGTGGTCAAGCTCCGCGATCAGTTGCAAGCGGAGACCCCCCAGTGCACTAACAAATCAACAGACATCGAAGGCAGCTCGAAACCCCCAAAACCCCTAAAACCCTAAATCAACACACCCGCCCCCCGCCACAAAAGAAAAACAACAAAAAGAAGCTTGGGCATGACTCTGAAGGCCTGAGACACCGTCTCGCCTTGGAACGGCACCTCAGAAGCTTAGGATGCCTCCAATTCTACCCCCCTGGCCCTTAGTAGGGAATGGGGGAAGGAGGGCCCCATATACATATATATATATATATATGTATATTCTTTAAGGGGTTCTATAGGGTACCTCATTCCCTCATTCCCTACTCAGAACCAGCCAGATTTATAGGGTGTCTCTGAAAAGGTGTTGAAGAGAAGGGTTTAGGGGTTCGGGGGTTAGGGTTGAAGCTTTAGGGTGTTTAAGAAGTTGTTGCAGGCAAGGATTATTCTTTATTGGGATTCTAAGGGGTCCCCTAGGGTTGAGAAGATGGTGCTGAATTTGGCCTTGGCCATGACTCACACTCAGCTCGCCGCCAAAGCAGGTGCGGGCTCGTTCAGCGGAGGTGGCTTCGGGGGTTCCTTCCGACGCTTTGCATAGCCAGTGATCCCTAAACCCTAAGCCCTAAACCCTAAACCCGAAACCCGAAACCCGAAACCCTAACCCCACACCCTAAACCCTAAACTCAAAGCTCAGACTGCAAAGGTTCTGCCTGCGGCTCTTCACCCAGCAGCTTGGCTGCCAAGTTGCGGGCGTTGGAAAGCGCCTTTGAAAGCATGGAAACCCTCAGCCCTAAGCCCTAAACCCTAAACCCGAAACCCTAAACCCTAAACCGTGGAGGGAACCTGTTTCACTTGGCCGGGATTTGTGTTTGGTGCGGAGTCCCTGCTAGACGCTTTTTCTGAAAGTTCGTAACTTGCTGTGACTCCTCAAGGTTAATTCGACTCTACTGAGGAGGATTGTGTTACAGATGTTGCCTCGAACATCGAAACCTCTAGCAAGAGACAGCTAAGAAACTGAGTGACTTTTGGAATTCCGAAGGACTTCAGCCACAGAACTGCAAACTTATCCCGGATGCGGCTGTTAAGCAGCGATTCTCAACCAGACTCGCCTGTCTACACTCGTCAGCGATCAACTCGGCACCGTCCCGGCCGGTGGCTAACCTGTGGGCAGCACAGTGCCGTCGGTCTTGCAGGCAGGGAGATTAGGGAGGATTTCGCGCTTCTCTTCAGGCACGGCTCACCCGGTAGCGACAGCTTGCGTGGCGTCCTGCAGAAAATTCGCCATGGACCTTGCGACGTGTCAACTGGCATCTGGCGTTCGAGGCAAACCCTACAACCCTAAACCCTAAACCCTAAACCCGTAAGATTGGTACTCCAATGGCGGACCCAAAGCGGCGGCCACAGCTTCTGCATCCTGCAAGAGTATGGGTCTCACTCACGTATCCTTTCTTGGGCTTCTGAGAACATTCGAGCAACTAGTAGCTGAAGGTGCCAACCAACAGGCCACAAAGCCATCAATCAGATAAACACTGAGATAGCCCGAAGTGAGCTAAAAAGCTCGAACTCACTATGCCTCTGTCCTGACTCGCACTGACAGATCGCGGGCGCTTTCTCCAAACGTTCCAGTCCTTTACGAGGCCTCGGTTCCGATTGTCAGAAAGGGTTCCCAAGACCCCACAAGGGTCTACTTTCGGCACGCCATACGTAATGTCCGATCTGAGCATCGCTCGTTCAAGCTCGCTCTTCGGGGGATGCAAGTCGACCAGCACATTCTTCGGCAGCACCTATTAGTTTTTTTCACAGAGATGGCGAGTGCCTTCTCCTTATCACTCCACCAGCAAGCAAAAGAAAAGAGTCCGGCCATCAACTTCTTGGGCACTGCCAACTCGATCCTTGCATGTTTTTAAAACAAGTGGTCAGGCCAGTCAGTCGGCTTCCAACGAGGAGACCAAATGTCACCTGCGGTCTTGCTTGCAAGTAGCTGGTTTTTCTCCGCGTCATCCTCCTCCTCGTCTTCCACATCCTGCTCTTCTGCCACGTCAGAGTAGTTCACAAATAGCGTGGCAGGTGATGGCAAAGCAGACGGCTGAGGAGGAGGCCCCGAGACCGAACATGTCCGGGTTTGCAGGAGCTTCAACGTCCTTCGGGCTGCAGTGCACCGAGCTTCTGCCAGATCCACAGAACAAGTCGACCAACTAGGACCTATCAGGGCTCCTTCTTCTTTTCTTCTTTCTCAATCTCAACAGTGTAGCGCTGAAGTGCGAAATCCTGGTATCGCATGTCGCGCCGCACGCACGAAAAGCAAAAGAAGTGTCTGGAGGAGGATGCGCAACGTCAACCTTTCGCTGCTTGCTCCCGGTGCTCATGCGGATGGCCAGCTTGAAAAACTTGGGTAATGCTATCTGCACACGGCGATCGGTAGTTTGCCAGTCTGTGGCACTGCAGCTTCGGCAGCCACTGCAAACGTGCGTGCGTGATGGCCACGGATGTGTTGAACAGTACCGAAGCCATCAAGCAAAAATATAATGCATCCGACTCCTTCTGGATACTGCGCGTTAAAAAAATCACATCATGTCTAGGCATGGCAGTCAACAGTTACAATGTACCTCCCGAGTGAACATAGTAGTTCGTTCCTCAGATAGCCGCCTCAAACACTTCATTCTCATCCTCAGCCTTCTCCTCACAGGGCAACACCAGAGGCTCACTAAGCATTGCCACAGCTAAAGTTGACGGGGGCAGCAGCTTCACGCACGAACGGCAGCAGCTTCACGCACGAACTCCTCCCGTTAACATTTCAGTGGATTGCATCAATGGCTCATGACTGTTATACAGCCGGGTCTTGTCGTCATACTGGGAAAAGTTGGGTGCAAGAGGGAAGAGCACAACTGCCTGGCCACCTTGTCAGCTGGATATTGATAGCTTCTGGCGATTCAAAAACCCAAACAACAGAAGCGTCCTCCGCTTTCTGCTCATCAACTGGCTGCGGGCTCGTTTTCTCAATGTCAGAGGCCTGCGGCGCTTGCGCCGCAGCTGGCTTCTTCTCCAAGTACACAACCACACGATCCTCAGAGCATGCGTCGTCCCTACCGCGCTCTCCTAGCTCTCGAGACACATGCGCTATCTTACGATGTCCTCTGCCCTCACCCTGCCACCTGCGTGTTCCTGCACACCACTCTAAGCCACTCTAGGGCCTCTGGGAAGACTCTTCAGAGAAGCGTCGGTGATAAGCCAGGTCAGGCAGATCACCACGAAGGCCAAGCCGAAGGAGAAACCCGGCCCGTCGCCATCAACCAGGTACGGCACCACACCCGCAATTGCCGGTCCCGGGCAGATCCCAATGAGGCCCCAGCCTATGCCGAAGAAGCAGGCGCCCAAGATCAGCGGAAAGTAGTTGCCATGCTTCGGGGGCTTCTCGTAGCTGCAATCGCTGCATAAGGGCTTGCTTGCCTCTCGCTCAGCGTAGAGGAAGGCCGGGCCACTAACCATGATGCCACAGCCCATGACAAAGGCCAGGGAAGGATCCCAGGTGCCCCCGAAATCCAAGAAATCCAGCACTTTTGCTTGACTCGTCATGCCTGCACAGCCCAAGCCCACACCTCGTGACAGCAAGTGGGAGGTTGCAGGGCAGGGTTCAAAAGAGCATGAACACACGCTAAGATACGCTAAGGCAGGGGCCGAAGATGATGCCAGCCAGGGTCGGCGACACATATCTCTGAATGCGGGTCGGCAGGGCGAGCATGAGGAAAGTCAGCAGCGCAGAAGCTCCCAAAGATGCGACGGGAAACTCCCATTTGGGAGGCCACTGGAGCTCGGCAACTGCCCATGGCCGAGGCTGCTCCCACTTGAATGCATGGCGCGTGAGGGCAACGGTTGCAATTGCCATTCCCATGAATGTAGGAACTGCAACCCAGCTCCTCGACGAGAATCTAGGAAGTCCGCATATACCGTGGCCGCTCGTACAGCCCTTTCCGATGCGGGTGCCCATCCCAACAAAAACCGCCGCGGCAATGTAGCGGACGACATGGAAAGGCGCTGCTTGCGGAAATGAGAAATCATGGTTGCAAGCCATGGCGATTAAGCCTCCCAGAACCAAGCCAAGCAAGAAAAGTATTTTCCAGAGCTGGCCTCCCGTCAGTGGCTGAAGCTGCGTGGCGCCGCGGAGAAATGGGCCCAGGATGCCAGCAACCCCAGCTATCCGGCCATCCACTAAGTATGAAATTGCTGCCGACAGCCCAATGAGCATGCCGCCGATGGCGGACTCGACGGGCGTGAACATGGCTCCAGTTTCCACAGCTGCTGCTGGCACTGGACTAAAAGCATCTTGAGCCAGGCTTACTTCCTGACCTTCTTGCCGTGCAGTGTCATGTACTGCAGTCTTTGCAGTTGCAAGGCAGTACATGTTAATGTGCTGTCACGGACGACCCTTTCACTCTCGGCATGCAAAGTTGGCAACCGGCAGCGGCATGGTCATTTGCTCAAACAGGTCAGACAGGCCCATGCGACAATCTTGCCTGCTTTGCCGTTGAGATCTGCTCTTGCAGCCAAGTCCTGAACGGCTCGGGACCGTTGGGCTCCCTCTCAGACGTGGGATGAAATTCCCAGCTCGCACTTGTGCTTCTGCTGATCTACATTTACAGCCTGCAACAGGTGCGCCACATGCATCTAGCGAGTAGAGCCTGCCCCCGCCCAAAGTCGAGCGATGCGAAGCCTGGAGGAGAACGCGGGATCCATCCGGAAAGCGACCGCCGCTTTCCGGGAGGAGGTAGATCACGCTCAGCCTCAAAAGCAGTTGCTGTCAATTTGCACGGTCGTCCCATCTAGCCAGGCAGCTCCTGTGAAAGAGTGCCACTAGCCATGCTGCAAGCTTGCCTTCTCTATGAGGGATTGCCATGCAGGAAGCCAGTGCCATCCCAACACATGGCTTGTCCACATGCTGCCATCACTCTGCCAGAGCTTTCTTTGCCTGCCGAGCCACTCTGACTGAATGGCACCCTTCAGCAGCTCCTCGAGGGTGGCTTCACACCCTAAAGTATGCAGTCGGCTGCCAAGATGTACATGCAAGTCCCCATGCCTTTTTTCCCCCCCTCCGGCGCATCTCGCCAAGCAATGACTACGGGCAGCCATGCCTTCTGCATCATACGGAAACCACTTGCAGGTTTACGATATTGCGGGTTACCTGATAGGGATCCCTATTGTATAAAGGAGTCCTACTACGTGGGTTCTATATTTTAGGGGTCCCCTCTTGTCGTAAACCCCCACTTGGATGGCTCACCTCACGGCATTGGCTCCACGAGGACCTGCAGGGAATTCCCGTGATGCAATGCCTCGCACTAATTTTTGCCTCCCGACTGCTTACAGTGCTTACAGCTCCTGTGACATCAGTACCTGGCCTCCCTGTTGGCCTTCAGAGTCATGTCTCACCCCAAGCCAAACCCACCAAGCCTGAGATGTGCCCTCAAGCCCCTGAAAAGCCCAAAGGCCTAAACCCCTAACACCCATCATGCTACCTTACCTTAGCCTGCCCCATACTTCCTATCTTACTACAGCACACATTTGATCAGATTCTATGCTCCGAAACCCTGAAGGGAGCAGCCTCCAGGTCCGGAAGCGTGGCTTGCAGGCGTTGACGGCATCGCTCTGCTTTGTCGCGGGCGTCACCGAGAACCACGGCCTTCCCAATATCTCCGATCAAGGCCTTTGTTGCAAGTTCGTCTGTGAGGCTTCGGGATTTTCATCCTTTTTCGGGCTTCTTCGGGTTAGGTGCTAAGGGGGCTTGAGGTTTCAGCGTTTGAGCTTCAAGGCTTGGGGCTTGTAGGGGTTAGAAGGTTCCCGGGTGGGAAAACTTGTTGGAGACTATGCAATAAGTAGCCCAAGCCAGGTCGACGTGGCGACCGAACCTCAGCGAGAATGAGCCAGGCAGCTGTCTCCACCAGCTCACCTGCAGCTCGCTGCGCCTTCTCACGTGTTAAGAGTTCGGGCAGTGCTTCTTCCAGCTTCTCGGCAAACTGCTGAACTGAATATGTGCGAAGGCCCATTCTTATCAGGACCTGAGTTGCTCCGAAGGGACCGAACGGCGCACGGGAAGAGGCAAAGAAAAGGAGCTGCTTGCACTACCGCAACTACTCAAGACTACAAAAGAACAAGGAAGGAAGATCTTGTCCTGAAGCCTTGAAGGCAGGCCACCGGCTTCCAGAACTGCCACCACCGCCCTTTCCAAATGGGAGCGCGTATCACGACTCCCCAGAGATGCGTCTTTGCCGTCTTCGTCTTGGTGTCCTCTTTCACCACGCGCTTCAGCGCCGGCGCAGCGCATCGGCGAAGCTTGCTCTGAAAGGAGCGGCACGCACCCAGCGTGGCCACCAGCGCAAGAGTGCGACTACTTCGACCTCAGCTTGCAAAGCGCGCCTCCCGAAGCGACCCTAGGAGCAAAACCGCTGCGGCCGCCTAAGCAATTCTTGTCCCAGCCGCTCGCAACATCGTGCCGGCTTGGCACGATGCTTGCCGAACTTGCTGGCTGAAGAGATGCTGGTGATATCGTGGCCGGCTGCAGAAGCTCAGCACGAGGGGGTGCGAACCGAAGCGACATGGCCCGAGCTTCTCAGGATCAAGGGCATTCAATTTCTGGGATATGGGCAACTCAAAGTCGGCAAACTCAGGTCAACGACTTAACGACTGGAAGATGCGGAATGGCCATAGACTTGGGAATTGTTCCTGCGCGTGAATCCTTCCAACTACCTTTCCGGACGGCTGCAGGGTTCATCGTTGGTAGGACATCTTTTCATCCCAAACAATGAGAGACCTCGTGGGCCCAGAAGCGCAAAAGCGATGACAGCTTCGCATTTCGCGAGACCACACGTCCAAAAGCGACGACAGTTTCGCATCTCGCGAGCAGCAACCCCCCCAAGAGTGCGATTTGTGTCCAGAAGGCCTTGAGGAAAAAACCATGGTCCGCAGCCAGGGCGCCGGCCGTGCACACCGCGGCGTTGCCCCGCTTACCCTTGAATTTAAACCCTTAGTGTTGACACACTGTGTGGATCTGTGTGGACAAGAATACTCAACGTCTTGACTGGCCTTCGCGTTTTGATGATCATGCAGTTCTGCTAAGTCAGCAATGGCACCATGAGCATGCTCTTGTACTACCAGTTTGCGCCGCAGCAGTATAGAGAGGTGAAGAAAAGGTGTTCCCATGTAGAGATGCTGATAGTAGTAGAATCAGCGTGCGCAAATCGTGCTCAAAAGCTCTGACCTGTGCGAATCTGATGTATGTGGGTGACACTTCTCGGCCACCGATCAGTTGATCTTCCATGTAAGCCCAACTTGTTTGTTTGACATGCTTTTGAAGGTGTCGCCCAAGACTACCTCCATGCATTTCCATGCACCCACTGAGCTCACTAGCAGACAGGTTCTGCTACGTTACGTTCACTCGATTACTTTCAGCATCAGGGCTAGCAATCTCCTGACCACGGCGCTCGAAGATGTCCATGTACAACCTGCTCCGCACAATCAGGTTGCAGAACGCAAAAGCTCTTCAAACACTCTAGACAGCACAGAAGCCACAAAGGAGCCCCAGCACGATCTTATTTCCGAACACCTTCTTGCTGTGTCTGTGTCTGCCGCTACTTATACTTCTTGCGCCACTGCGATGCCTGTGCAGATTGTCCATGAGCTTTGCGAACTCCTCTTCGTGAACCTGCCCGTGGGCGTGAGGCTTGCTTTTCTAGGGCCTCAAGGTCCCTGCAGGTTTGGGGAGCCTTCCGGGGGGGCCTTCGGGTGTGGCGTTTGCAGGGGGATGCCCGTGTTAGGGGTACAGGAACCCTGGCACCTCGCTGAACTTGCCGACGGCCATACCTGCAGAAGACTCGTTTCTGAAATGCTTGGGCTTCAATAGAATCGAATGGAAAAGAAAAGAAAAGAATAGAATAGAATAGATATATATATATATATATGTGTATATAGACAAATATATTTATTTATTTACTTAAAATATTTACTTATATATGTATGTATGTATGTATATATATATATATGCTCTACTTACATCAGAAACTCCAGTGCGGCCTGACTTCATCAGCTCGAGCAGCTTTACCTCGCATCGCCACACCCATTCCCAAGGACATGGCGAATGCATGTGGGGGGTTTGCAATCATAAGGGACCCCATAGACCCCAAAAACTAGGATCCCCTAAGACATCCTATAACAAGGTCCCTAATAAGGCACCCCCTAGTATCGTAAAACCCCCCAAGTTGGGGATGGCTTCAAGATGAGCCAAGCCCGCGACGCAGCCATGCTCTGCCAGGGAGCCCTTCACTTCCAAGCCGCGCCATGGACTGTCCTGCAACTCACTGTCTTGGGAAGCGGTCCCCCAAAGCCCCCGGAAAGGCTCAAAAGGGGCTGAAAACCAACCCCCAAGCCCCAAGAAGCACTGCAGCTGAAAGTGCAATGGCCGATTTGTGAGTTGTAGCTTAACACAGAGAAGCTCATTCTGATGCGGGGATTGTGACATGTCCGATGCTGCTCGGGGACTGCCAACTCTGCTGAATGAGAAACTTTAACGAGCCCCTGTGACGACCTTGTGTGCCAAAAGCGAAGTCATCGCCCAGTTCATCTGCCTTAGCACCCGGCATCGAATTGACAGCAATCACAACTAAGACCCGAAGCAGCTCAGACTTGTGCTTCAACGCAGTCCGGCACTTCCGAATGTGGCGCTGGACCGACTTCGAACCTGCAAGTTTCGGGTGTGTAGGGACGGTGAATGCTGCCTTCTGCTCGAAACTCCCGAGGTCTCTGCTCTCATTCAGCAAGGGCATAAGATGGGGCTCCTTGAAAGCCAAGCTCGTCTCAATGATGCTTCCAGCCCCCTGTCCCAACAGTCCTCAAGCATTGTGAAAGCCCCTCCAGCAGCTGTCTTGCTGACCTGCGCCACTCAAAACTTAAACGCGTGACTGTGGCTAAATTTCTTTCGGACAACATGTAGCTCAGCATTCGCTACACCAACACTGTGGGTCCGCCTTCGGGTCAACCAGCAAGGGCTTCACCTTGTCCAAGAACTTGTCCGCATATTTCGGACTCCTCTCCTGGGCATATCGGGCGCACTTTCTGACTATGAAAACAGTACAAGCTGTCTTCCTGCGAAGGTGTCTTAACTTACGTTGGCAGAGCAGGGTCTCTTGATCTCAGCCTTCTTGGGCAACAGCTATCACAAGCGTTTCGCAGAGGTGTCCTAATGCGTCAAGGGAGTTGGGGGTACGTGAAACTTAGAAGTGCACTTTGAACGCCAGCACCTCCTTGTTTCCACTGAATGCCGTCTGGTCTTCAAAGAAGCCTGTAATTCCACGTATGAACGTCATACAAGAATACACAAATGTAAATAGTACAAAAAACGCAAACAGTACAATTCGTGCAAATAGTACAACAAACACATATCATAGTACACATAGTACACATAGTACACATAGTACACATAGTACACATAGTACACATAGTACACATAGTACACATAGTACACATAGTACACATAGTACACATAGTACACATAGTACACATAGTACACATAGTACACATAGTACACATAGTACACATGGTACACATAGTACACATAGTACACATAGTACACATAGTACACATAGTACACATAGTACACATAGTACACATAGTACGCATAGTACGCATAGTACACATAGTACACATATGGTACACATAGTACACATAGTACAAATCGGACAAATAGTACAAACAGAACAAGTCATACAAACGTTACAAATAATACAAATAATACAAGTGATACAGAGAATACAAAAAATGCAAAAAAAACACACAAAGAATACAAATAATACAAATACTACAAATAATACCACTAATACAAAAAACACAAAGAATACAAAGAAGACAAATAATACAAAGAAGACAAATAATACAAATAATACAAATAATACAAATAATACAAATAATACACATAATACAAATAATACAAATAATACAAATAATACAAATAATACAAATAATACAAATAATACAAATAAAGCACAAATACAAATAATGCAAATAATACAAATAATACATCCAGTACAAGTAATGCAAATCATGCAAACAGTACAAAGAGTACAGATGATACAAACAATACAGACAGTGCAAACAGTGAAAACAATACAAATAGTACAAATTATACAAAAAGATCATAAAAAAAAAAAAAAACTTAATAATGCTGCCAAAAGCATTAAGCTTGTTAATAACATACAATCAAAAATAATACTACGAACAGTAGGCTGTCCGGTCATCCCGCGCCCAGTAAGTGGCACGCCAGGATCTGTTCCACAGTGAGGCCGCGCCGTTCCTGGATTGCGACTTCGGGTTTCCCACTTAGGGTTTAGGGTTTAGGGTTTAGGGCTTAGGGTTTAGGGTTTAGGGTTTAGGGTTTAGGGTTTAGGGTTTAGGGTTTAGGGTTTAGGGTTTAGGGTTTAGGGTTTAGGGTTTAGGGTTTAGGGTTTAGGGTAAGCGTCCATGGACTGGAGGACATGTACAAGTTTTCTTTGCGCACTCTGCGTTCCCAAGTTAAGCTTTTGATCGGTACCCCCTGCGATGTCTGTCCTTCTCGAGCTCGCCATCATCATCCTCCGAGGAGATGTCCTGGAAGATGTTGAACCTGCTGCAGCAAAATCTCCTCTACTTATCGACGATGCGCCTGTGGTGTATATGTGGGGCTACAGCACTAGAGCTGCTACTGCTGTACTGCAGCGCCACTGAGGCCAGCAACTTGTGCGCAAGCTTGCGGCCGTCGCCACGCATGGACCGGCCGTCTTGGTCCTGTTCAGAAACCCAATCCCCAGCAGACAACAAGTTACAAGACGACCGACCAGCTGCTCGCCTTCTGCACCTCCGACCAGCCAACTTCAGCTGCCTTCGAAAGGTTCACAAACGCTTGCGTTTGCAAGTTCTTTCTGCTTCCAATGCTGCAAGACACCAGGGAAAGAAGCTGCAATGGCTAGCGAGGAGGGCACTGATCGGTCTTGTTCACTGCATGAACTGCAGATCCGCAGAAAGGGCTCCGCCAAGGCGTGCTTCTAGGTGCGAAGCTTCAAAGCTTCCGCAGAAGGTTTTGGCATCGCCACAACACCGGTCAAAATCCTTAAACATGATAATGACTAAGACATTTTTCATTACAGGATGATGCAGTGACATTCCCTTTTGGTCTCACAGGTGCTGCGACAACACCACTAGAGATTTCATCTCGCTTGGAAAACCTGGAGAACAAGAAACACGACCATGCTGCCTTTTTAAGCAGCTGCGCTCCTGCACACGTCTACTGGTCAGGATTAGCACAGGTGCAAAACTGATAGCCAAGTTGCCTTTGCCAGGCCTCAGCTGTCCGTCGAACTATCCGACATCTCTGACAGAAGAGCAGCAAAAAATCTAGAATGGTGATATCTTGCAATTCTTTGCAGCTTTTTATGGCATCCAAGACACGCAACACATACACACATACACACACGCACGCGCGCGAGCGTGCCCGCGCGCGCGTGCGCGCGCGTGCGCGCGCGCCCCCGCATAGGAGTAGTTGCAGGTTTTCTTCGCTTGTGGCACAGAAACCAGTACATCGCCTGGCTTTCGTTTCACATGACACCAAGACAATCATTTGTTCTCATGGCCTTTGAACAGCAGCCGAATCTATCGTTCTTGCTTAATAGCACATGCTTTCGAGTGCAGGTCGGGTAAACAGCATCCTCTGCTTGTGGGTTGCTTCTGGCGCGGTGTTCTGAACATGTAACTTTTCCTGGTCGTGCGTGAGATATGTTTCACACGGTGAAACCCTAGTCAAATTGCACGCGTTGATTTGAAAGTGCTCCGTTCAACATGTGCATTGAAGCAAAAATGCATTTAACACGTCTTTGTCCGTGACTGTTATGTTGATCGAGTTGAAGCATGTTGAATTTAATTCTTTTTGTATGAAAATAACTGTGCAAAAAGTCAGTAAGGCTCATCTGTTTTCCAGTTTGCTTCGTTGAGAACGCGTGTCAAACAGAAGCAAAGGAGAAGCCTGAGGAGGCGATCGACGGCGGAGAAGCAGCACAGGACATAAGCACTGCCAATGGCACATGGGCTTACTACGCCCTCGTGACTGTGATAGCACAGATGCGTGCAAGTGCATGGTCAGCAAACCTTTCCAGTTTCCAGATGCCGCCGTGCAACACGTACTCCTCTTCACGACGAGCACCTGCGGAATTGCTGCAACACTTTCCTGCCTCGCACCAGATCCAGTACACGCATCACCCAGCCACTCGACCGAGCTTCTCACTAAAAGATGAGAATCGAAGCGTTTACTCTGGCCCCTGGCCAGCCAACTCCTGCAGCATGGTAAGCTCGGCAAATGATCGCGGCACCATGTCCAAGGGAACGCTTGCGTGGCAGGAGAGGTCCTGGATGTAGGTGATGTCGTCCCAAGGATGGCGGTACAGCGGCTGCTTCAGCCTTGCTCCCGCAAGTCTGTAAAAGATCGATGATGTGTCTTTCAAAGGCGTGTGCGAGTGTCCTGCACTATACCGACTGGAAATTCCAATCTTAGGGACTGCTTAGATCTAAGATCAGGGCCGCAGCTGGTCCAAGTAGTGGCCAATGAAGCCGATCGATCGGCCTAAAACACTGGCTCTTGAATGAAAATGAATGAAGACTGAATACAGAACATTCGTGCTGAACTGACACCTTCTCATTCTACTTCGACAGCGCACGCGACTTATGCTTCTTTCACTAGTTTGTGCTAACTACTACTGAAACGTACTCCTCTGCACTACTTCTGGTAGTTACTGACTACTGACGCTGAAACTCACTCCCTCCGCTGCCGCAGATTGTACTGACTACGAAGGATGCGACAGCAACCGTGGCTACGCCTCGGACACCACCACCAGCATCTCAACCCGACAGCCACTACCAGTATCAGTACCACAACAACTTCCTCATCAACAACAACGACAACGACGACGATAACCGCTACGACTTGCTACGACTTGCCCCCTCAGAGCCCATATGAGAGCCGCACCCAGAACGAACAGGCCATTGAGGCAGCCAAAGGCCATGAGGTCATCGCACTCTTCCTGCCCAAGGCAATGGCGGCACCGGCCTCTTAACAAGGTGCTTCATGATAGCAGCGCCAAGAGCCCTGGCTACAAGATTCCTTGGAGAAGGCCCCGCAAGATCTGATCATGTCCACGAACGACCTGGACTCCCCAGTTAGCCAAAGAAGCTCCAAAGAACGTCGGCTGAAGATCTAGATAATGCTGTGGAAGGGACACGGCGATACAGCCATCGACGTTCAGGATAAGATTTGCTCGCTTGCGGGTGGTGATCTGTTCCTAAATCATCACTGCAGGCATGATTTGCGCAGGTGACCACTCTCATACAATGGACATCTCTCTACAAGTAGCTGCCAAAGTCAAGCTTCCACGGCCAGGGCATAGTCAAGAACTGGCGTGTTGTTGAAATGCTTCTTCGCAAAGCCCTTGATGATCTCAACCTGACATGTGCTCTGTAAGCTAGGGCCCTCTTTGGACAATATGCTTTCAAAATTGCGCAGATGCTGGTGATGTGGGGCGCCGACTCGCTGGTCCGGGTTGGCCAGGGACTTGATCCTGTGCCCGATGCCCATGATCAGCTGATTGCTCTTCTTCATCTTCTCGATCCAATCCTCAATTTGTTGCCATGGAAGCATCTCGACCCAGCACTACGACCCAGCACCCTCCACCACACAAGAAGACCGTCGCGCCTTGGGCGCGACACCACTGCCCTGCGCATCTGCGAACCTGATCATCAAGAGCGGTTTATGAGTTCAAGTCGCGCAGCTGCGACCGTGAACCGCAACACAATCACAGCATCGCCGCTTCCGAGCTGAGCAGCATCCTTGCCGCGTCATCCAGTGCACCACCAAATCGAGGACCGATAGTCAGCAGACCACTGCAGAGAGAGGACACCAGGTCTTTGCCTGGCGCGTGAATGCTTTTGGCATCTACGACGACCACGGTTGACTCGCATCTGTGAGTGCTGATGTGCCTGCACGGGCAGTGACGATGGTGTTGTGTGCGCCACTCACTGCTGGACCATGATCTGCGGTTACCATGAGGATCATCTCGATGAACTTCGAGCAGTAGGCCTCTAGCAAATCCACGCATCAAACACAGCAATCTCCTGACTGCCCAGTGTCGGAGAGCACATGTCACATGACAGAGCCATACAGCTTTCACACGCTCCTCCTCTCCGCGTTTCACTTTCTGCATGCACTTCTTGTGTTTCGGGCCAACTTCCCAAAGACAATGCCCGTGCAGTCATAATCAACTGGGCCAGCCCATGTTCCAACTTCCGAAAAGGCCACCGTGAGTTCTGTTTGGCTTAATGTAAATTTCTGTTCCTCCGGCTTGGGTCGTGCTTTCCACGGAAGAGCTCTGGTTTGGCTGATCTAACCGGGCTGTAGGTCTCTTCCACAAGGGTTTTCAGGCCCTGGGTGCATTCTCCCGAGGGGGAAAGAACACAAGGGATCATCAGCGTGTGTGAAAGATTTGACAGAGTTGGCCTCGAGGGGGCCACTCTCTCACTCTCACTCCTCGCACTCCCGCCCTTCTCAGTCTGTTTGACTCTCAGCGCTGGGCAGGAAGCTGTCGCCGGAACCACAGGAGGGAGAGGACACCACCGATGCCAATCTCCTCGCGCAAGCACGCGAAGCTCATCTATATATATATATATATATATGCGGCCACTCGTAGTCTGCACATGCATGTTCGCGTGAAGATCGGAGACGACGCACCTTGCTGAAGACGTCTGAGATGCTCATGCCGCAGTAGGTGAGCTCCTTGCCAGCACTAGCAGGAGCCAGCCGTCATCGCAAAAAATGGATGGTCCTCGCCACGGTCATCCGAGATGGAGGAGATGAAGTTCGCAGGCTTCCTGTAGAGACCACGATATGCTGATCCCACAAGGTCACAAGCAGAACAGCATCCCCGCCTGACCATGCCAAGCTTCTTTGCCCAGGTGTAGTCCATCGGCACCTGCTTAAACCACTGGCTGCAGTGGTACCAGCACTCTAGCAGACTCTAGCACCCATGCTGCGTTGAAGCCTGGGGAGTCTCGCCCTCCGGCGTCTCCACGATCTCACCAGCTTCCACCAAGCTGGTGTAAACCTGCATGAAACCGCAGGAGGAAGTGCAGCGGAAAACACATCTGACAGGTCAGGCCACCCATCCCAACCTTGTTGATCATCTCCGGAAGCAGGTCGAAGGAGTCTGGCACATGGAAGCCCGCCTCCTTCATCGCCTTCCCAGTCTCAATGTGCACACGACATGTGCACGCACGCACACAGACACACACGCATGTGCATGTGCATGTGCATGTGCATGTGCATGTGCATGTGCATGTGCATGTGCATGTGCATGTGCATGTGCATGTGCATGTGCATGTGCATGGACACCCGACGTTTCGGCCTTGTTCTTTGCAGCGGCAGTCTCCATGTCACCACGAGCCTGCAGCGGGAGGGCATGCAGGGGCCCTCGGAAGAGCTGATCCAGCCCTTGGCCTGGGCACCAGCGTGTCCAAACTGCACCTCAAGGGGGATGATGGCTGCGGCTACACACGGGCTTGCATGAGTATTTACATGGATTCAGACTTTTAGGGGTTTGCGGCATGAGTCCGAACATGCCCGGACCTCCGTAGTGAAGCAGGAGGCACATGTGCCCACACACCAGGCCACCACTGGCTTTGTGATGCGTCCCTTCTTCACAGCCTTGGCCAGGCTGCACTTGCCTACTTTCCTCTGGTGCAACGAAAGACTTGAGGACATTGGGCTGAAAATGGGGAGCGTACATCGATCAGGTCGTACTCGTCCACGCCGCCAACCTCTCCCAGCAACAGCAGCATCTTGGCGTTGGCATCGTCCTCTCCAATGTTGGCCGACATCGGCAGTAAGCATCAGAGTGGCAAGTCTCTTCAGACTGGTCCTGGTAGCGGAGGAAGTGATCCAAGAACCTGCTGCCGGGGTATCGGTCGCCACCTTAAGCAGTTGACTTAGTTGCAGGGCTGCGCAGCATCCGACTCCGTGCGACTACATACAAACCACTGCAGAGAACGAGGGCGTTGAAGGGCCCAGACCAATGGCAACACCCTCGTAGACACCATCCGAATTTCGGGCGACGATGTTGTTGAGCTCATTGGACCTGCAGCGAGCATCGTGAAGCGGGCATTGGCATTCGTGTCTGGGCATTCGTATCTGTGTGGGCAAGCTCAGCGCTTTGCATTCCTCCGGACTTTGAGACGTAGGCGACGGAACCAGGCCGGTACAGGCGGGACATCACAATGTTGTCCAGCCTCAAGAATGGCGCGCTCTTGAACGCGTCTCGCGCCAAGCAGCAGCACTTCGATGCTCAAGGCCGCAGCATACCGCCAGTGTTTCCGATGCGCAGGCAGCCCGGCTTGATGCCACCCACAGTCGCTGGACCGATGATGCCTGTGTCCGCAGCTTAGCACCATGCTGGTACATGCGCAATGCTCACAAGCAAGCTCACCTACGCCCTTCTCCTCTGCGACCTTGATGATGTCGCGAGTCTGTTGCTCGGGCACGCCCTGCCCAAGACACAATCCAAACTAACACGAGCCAGTGTCTTCCTGTATGTGCAAGAGTTGCCTCCGCGATGATAGCAATGGTCTTCAGATTCTTGTGGTTCATGGCCTTGACACAATGCAATACAGCCTGGGACCCCACGGAGGACACTGGAGAATTCTTCAGGCCTCCATGGATGTCTCGTGCACCGATCGGAAGGAGGCAAAATTCACGAAGACAGACGCATTAGGGTGCTTCTGCACGGCCTGTCAAGCCGAAGGCAGCTGCAGCCCCATACAACTCTCATAGAAAAACACTCTTTCCTGGTGCGCGACATCACGCCTCCTTGGTCGTAGTGTAGACAGGCATCAGGACCTGCGAGGAAAAAGACAGAACATCAGGGCAGTCTGCGGGAGGGAGGCACTCCAACTAAAGAAGAGTGTACGGAGGGGTCTGGCATGTGGTTGTGCCTCCTCTGTTCCCCAGTAGAACTTCACCTTTGCCGATCATCGTGTAAACATGCCACTGCTTGCACCCAACCAACCCTGATATAGCCAGGGTGCATAATGATTGCCTTGGCTGTAGTTCAACGGCTTCGGACAGAGAAGACAACACTAAAACTTGCCAAAAACCTGTGCGCGAGCAAGTTGCCGGAGAAAGGGAAGACCATGGCATCCACCGACGGCTTCTTGCCTGAATTCTCGACATAGCTCTGCACAAAAAACATTACCAGCTGCTATGTTGTTGCCAAGACGCGCTTGCACATGAAATCAAAGTCCAACATTCCTGCACAGACGTTTGTTTGGGGCTGCAAGAAGAGTGCGCAGCGCATGCCGGCAAAGAAATCCGTGCCTTGCACAGCACGGTTCTGCATACCGTACACAATGGAAGTGGTCTCCGGCCTCGGAGCATGGCAACATCACTCCAAGCACTTTGCGCTAGCAAAAGGTGTGAGGGCATAGCGTCGCGGTGACGAGGGTGTGCTTGGTGCCTGCACACTGGGAAGCGTGGCATGCGTCATCAACACGCAGCACCAGCTGAAAGCCACTTTTCTCAGAAACATCTCAGAATAAAGGATGCACCCAGGGCTCTGAATGGAAAAAGGGCCTGCTACGCGTTTTAGGAAGACTTCCTGTCTTGACAATTGCTGGGGCATATGACTTGGACGACATTGTTTGAGAAGGTCCAAGAAAAACGTTTTCGCTCGTGCGGCGAAAGAACGGTGCCACTGAAGCATCACGGTCTCGTGGTAAAAGCGTATGATGTCAACACGTGCTAAGCAACGTTGCCCATTCCTGAAAGTCACACTCCAAGAAGTCATGGCACTGCAGGGAGTGGAGTAAAGCAGCAGGGTTGAAAGCCAGGTTACAGAACCAGCACGAAAACCAGCAGGCATGGAGCACCGAGCCGCAGAGAGCTACACCCAAAACGCCTAAACCATCCTAAACCCCTTAAGCCCCGGTGGACCTGCAGGAGGAGCAGGCTGGCCCTTCGGCGTTGGCCTCCAGGAGGCATCTTGGGGGCATGTGGGGCTCAAAGGCGAGGAACAGCCAAGAGCAACAATCTTGCCGGCTGCGCTTCTTGCCCTTGAGGTCAATCAACTTCCGAACCTGGGACCGCGGGCCCTGAAACCCTCGGCCTCACCAGGCTCTAAGCCAAAGCATCAGAGCCTCTACATCCTGATTCCCAAAGACTCAGAGCGCAATGCCGAGCAGACCCCTGTTCCCCAGAGCGGATAATATCTGGCGGGTTGGGGGCTCGGCGGGTTGGAGGGATAGATAAAGATGATAAAGTTAGACATCTTCTGATGGAAGATGGACAGACTCCCCTGGCCTCAAGGGCCCTTTAGGACCTCTCGGAGGACTCCTTGAGATCTTAGAGCCGGGCGGGAGGCCCGCAAGCTGCCGACAGGTCTGGTTCCGGGAGTGGGTCAATCTTTCCCAGAGCCATCGGGATCACTGCCGTGATGTGGGTCTCCGGGCCATACACCTGCAAACTCTGAGACTGAGACTGGGCTTAACATGGTTTAGAGCTTGGGCTTCTGGGGACTTGGGGAAAGGCGCCATGCGAAACTGGGGCGCCTTGATGCCCAGGCCCAGCTTGTCACTGGCAGCCTTCACCTTTCGCAGGCCTTCCAGGTAGTTGGGGCCAGCACGGCGGATCAGGATCTTGATCTTGTGCTCCTGAAGGCATGCGCCACAGACCGTCTTGGCAAAAAAGGAAGGTGGCATCTCATGCGCAACATGCACTTACTTGGTCCTTGATGTCATCAGCATACTCCTGCAGAGCCTTGATGAGGCCAGTGAAGGTAGCAGCCACATCGGTGAAGTTGGCAATGCCTCCGCCAATGATCAAGAACTTGCCATCAGGATGCTTGTACTTCATCATCAACGACAGCAGGGTCTTGGCATAGACGAAAGTCTCTTCCGTGGACGGAGCTCCGGAGTACTCTCCGTAATTCGCCAGCTCCGAGCCCATGCCATAGTCCGCCACGGTGTCAGCGTATACGACGGAGGCGCCGCCGCCAGCAACCATCGTCCAGACTCGTCCTTTCTCGTTGAGGATGGTCAGCTTCAGTGAGGCACCAGTTCGGCCATCCATATCACGGATGAGGGCCTCCTCGGGGTATGCAGCACGGCCGAATGGTGGTGGCCAATCCAGCTCACCCCACTTCTGCGCGCAGAGGAAGTTTGCGGTCTCATCGATCTTAGCAGCCATGTCGAGCGGGACCACAGTGTTGTCATCCAGCATGACAAGAGGGTTGATCTCAAGGTAGGCGAAGTGCAGATCGGTGTAGAACTTGTAGAGGCTGACAATGAAGGATGCCATGTTGCCCTTTTTGGCGCCCGGCAACTTGCTCAACAACTTCTCCGTCACGATGGCCTCCGTCAGCTTGTCGCCATAGGGAAGCTCCAACCTCTCTGCCTTTGCATCGACATCGCCCACATCGACACCACCCTCATGATAGAACAGGATCTCATCATGGTACCGGTGGGACAGCATGCAAATGTAGTGCTCCTGCTCCTGCTTGTGGGGCACAAATGGCTCGATCAAGAAGTGGTTCAGCTGCCCGGTGACGTGCTCCACCTGCTGATCCTTGCACATGCGGTCCATCACCCACTTCTTGGCCTCCTCGAAGGGCTTGTTCACAGCGAGGAGCCCGGCTTTGCCACGGCGCTTGATAAGCTGGTCCGGCTTGGCCACCAAGTTGGTCGTCTTCAGCCATGGGTTTGCCTGCAGAATGCTGTCCCAAGTCTGGCTTCCGGTGCTGTCCAGCACAGCGGGCGTCACGAGCACACCTGCGCATCCCATCTTGTGCTTGCCGCCGGAGACCTCTGGCAAGTACTTCTCCAGGAGGCTCTTCCCTGCATGCTCGCGGATAGGCTTCACCGACATGTCTGGTGGCAAGGCGGGAGGAGTGTGCTATGTTCTGTTGGCTACAAAAGTGCTGAGCCATGGCGATATCATAATCACAACCCCTCAACATCGCCTGACAAGAACGGTACGGAGGACATGATTGCGCACGATCCTCGGAAGCCAATACCACACACAAGCCACGGGCCTTGTACAGTACCAAAGCTCTCTCCTCGCCCATCTTTCTCAAATCTCTGGCCATTTCCAGAGCTTTGCTCAAAGCAGTTTCGTGGCCTGAAGCAAAAAAAATCGATCATCGGTTTTGCTGCCGTCGAAGATTCCTTCGGGATGCCGGGCCTTGTGGAGCGCACCCACCAGAGCCAGCAATGCCAAAGCAGTGCTGTCTGTACCTTTCAAGCTCTAACAGTACGTGACCGTCCGTGTTTCTGTCTCTCTTTTGTACACCCTGCTTCATCACAGGGACTTATGGTTCTCAGTCATACCCGCACCCTGGCGTGCAAGGTTGGGATGGCAGCTGCCTCTGCTCTGAATCCAGACAAAGTTTACTCTCTGGTCATTCACCCGTTTCTGCTCGGTCTTGGAAGCTCAGAGGCTTCGAGACCAAAGTGCGGCAAATCAGCTTCCTGAACAATAGGAATCCTTGCCGGACATCGCACGACGTTTTCCATCCACGCGGCGAATCACGGGAAGCGTTACGAGTTCGACGGCATTGTAGGATTCAGGGCTTCGTGGCTTAGGGTTGCAGGTGTAGGGCTTCAGGGTTTAGCGTTCATGGCTTCCCGAAGGCCTGGGGCTTCAGGCCGGATTTTGGGTGGAGGTTCCTGTTGAGCTCTCTCTCTCAACAAGAGCCTGCCGCTGTGGGAACATGGTTGCTGAGCAGCCGGCACGGCACGCAACTGCTCGTCCATGAGAACCGTGTAAGCCTGTTGAAGTTCGCGGCAAGAGGCTGCACAAAAACACAAGCACTTTACAACTCCTGTGATCCTGAGTCCAAGCCTGCTTCAGTTTGGTGAAGCCTGCCATCCATGGTCTTAGGGTTTAGGGTTTAGGGTTTAGGGTTTAGGGTTTAGGGTTTAGGGTTTAGGGTTTAGGGTTCAGCTGGCAACGCCGACGCCAAAAAAGAAAACAACGTGGCTGCAGCGCGAGCACGGTCTGCATCCGTGGGTTCTCGACCCAGCTTGTCTGGATGAACGAAGGTCGCCTTGGGCTCTCAAACTGAGGTGCTTCGGTCTGAAATGGTTGAAAAAGCAGCTGAGCCGTTGCACCATCTTGTGATACGACTTTCGCACTTGCGAGGAGTCAAACTTGTTCATGTCAGCCTGGCAGACTTTGCGCAGCGTCTCGGCCCTGCAGAAGTTGCCAAGAAATTCCCTAAAGCCTCAAACATCTTGAAGAGGTCTGTTCCATTCTCCAAGCATTGCACCTGGCAAGGGGAAAAAACATCAAGATCACCCAGCACGGATTCCACAAAGCCGAACCTGCTTGGGAACTGGTCGACTGTCTTCACCCTGGTTGGGAATGACCTGGGAGGGCCGACAAGTGTCATGAGACAGCGGCCTACATCCGCCTGAACCCATCTCCGGGGCAGAAAGGCTTGCTGAATCATCGCAGCGCGGCTATAGGCATCAGAGGGTCCAGGGCTTCCTTGCCCACTTTCCCCACCTGGCTGGACCAAGGCCCAAAGCAGCACTTTCGTCGCATGTGCACAAAGCTTCTCGAAGCCAACCTCGGCGACCTCACTGTCAGCAGGCTTCTCGGGCCTGAGATTGGAAGCACGAAGCCACGAAGCCTCTGATGCTTGAGGCTTGGAGTTGAGAGCTTGTGAGGCTCCAGCTCAGGACCTTTCTGTGCCTGAGGGGCTGCCTGAGGCCGAGGGCAAAATTGGCACAGTTACTTCAAGTTACTGCAAGTTTTGCCATTCGTGGCCATGTCTTGCCGTAGCAGCTTGCTGTAGGCTGGTCCCTGCCTCAGCTGCAGCTGGAGGCGCGGTGCCTGGGCGTGTCCATGCCCCATGTTCTCACTGTATACTCAAGGTAAAACTTCTTGCACTTGGGAGAGCTCAACAGCAGAGGCAATCTCCAATTGGGGCTCTAGCCAGGTGCTTTAGCCTCAGGCAAAACCCAAGGCCCTGCATGTCTCACGAACGCTTGCCATACACTCGGTCGCGTGCAGCGGCTGTAGAGCCTCAGACGATTCGAACAGATCTTGGGCTGTCAAGCTGGAAGAGAAAGCAGCCCACTGTGCCCACGCCCCCCTCCCCCCTCTCATCCCCCTTCAGAGCGGCGCCGAGGGAGCCCATTGGGATCATGCCTCAAGGCGCAGGGCATCCAAACACTCAGAAGGCCCCCCCCAAGCCACGACCCGAATCCCTCTGTGCCTGCACCACCAGCACCCTCAGCACCAGCCTGGTAGCCGTCACTGGACGCGGTCGGACGCGGGCTTTGTAATTTATTGCGCGGCTCTCAAACGAGCATCGACTTTGAAAATGATGATGGCGCTACCTTAACGTTCGGACGTAGATCTTGTTTGCCTGACAACGGCTCTTCCGGGCCATCGCCGTCTTCAGTCTTACAAGGGGGGTAAGGCTTAAGAGCTTATGTCTGATCTATTCTGCATAAACTAGTAAACTAGTATTCGGAGCAAGGCGTGCTGGTATTCAAATATATATATATATATACATATATATATATATATATCATACTGATCCTGTTTGATCTGATTCCCCAGACGGGGGGAGAGAGAGAGAGAGAGAGAGAGAGAGAGAGAGAGAGAGAGAGAGAGAGAGAGAGAGCGGCATCTCAAACAAAAAAAAGCACATCCGCTCAACGCCCCTCTTGAGTCCATCCAAGCGGTTGCTCAAATGTTCTGAGGCCCTGGCCGAGGCATCTGGCCCCGCCCCCGGCCCCGGCGGCCGGCTGCCACCAAGTGCCTGTGCTCGGCCGCGCGTTGGGGAGTGAGTGCTGGGTGCGGTCTCGGTTCGCGTTCCCATTTAAGGCTTGGACACTCAGCGGAATCATGGCTCCTTTCGGCTGCTCAGCCCTGACCGCACAAACCCGCAGCTGCTCCTTGTTTCTTTGTATCCGACTGTCAACAACGGGGCCTGCTGCAGCCTGCCACAATGCCGCTGGAGCCCCCCCCCCTCTGTCGAGCCACCGCCGGGTTTTTCAAAGCACAAAGCGCAAGTAAAGAGGCCCTCGCTCGCACCTTGCACCTTGCAACGTGTAGCCTGCAATACCCAGTGACCCCCTTGAAGCAAACGGCCCTAGAACCCCTAAGCAGCTTCTGAGGTGCTTCCACGCGGCAAGGCCCGAAAAGGTGCTCTGATTTTGCAGCCCGAATGGAAGATACCGATGCCGGGTAGCACTTGAAAGCCGCTACAGGCCTCTGTCATAGTTCTGCTCGGCCCTTCGGTCTGCCGAGAGCATGAAGAAATCACCACGAGGATATGCTTTCATGGCAAACTCGTTCCGCAACATTTAGCAACAAGTAGCAGTTCAAGTCGCTTACAGAGATTGCCTAGGAAAACATGCCCACGCGCGATGTGCGGATAACTCCATGGAAAAGGTGGAAAAAGGCTGCCAGTGCCCAATCAAGGGGGACCTGAACCCTAAATTGCATAATGTGCTGCTTGCTAAGAACACGACTCGAGACGAAGCCCCAACTCTCGGGCAGATGGCAAGAGCTGTGGCGCCCTACGCGACCTTCCGCACAGCACAAGGCGTGCGCACGCCCCATCCAAGCCCTGTGCCAGCCGCGATGCGTCCACTGCGTCACAGGATCAGCCGGATTTCAGCCGCGATTCAAAACTGTGTTCACGAACAACATCCATGGCCTGGCGCCAGCCTCAGGACATCAAGGCGACGTACAAACGCAAAGAACTGACAGTCTTCCTCGGCAGACAATGAGCCCCCAGCCTTTCTAAGCTGTTCACTCTGGCCCCTGGCCCGCCAGTTCCTGCAAAGCTCATCTTGCCAACTCTGGGGGGGGGGGGGGGGCGAAGCCGGGTCAAGTGCGCCCCCACCTGGATGTAAGTGATGTCATCCCAAGGGTGGCGGTACAGAGGCTGCTTCAGCCTTGCAGTGGTTCAACTGTGCAGCTCTTGATTCAGCGAATCTAAGGCAAGCCATGAACCCCAACCCCTTGGGTTTAGGGTGGCCGCCGCAGCTGGTCCAAGTAGTGTCCAATGAAGCCAATCGATCGGCCTTTGGATTCCCGGACAAACAGGGCCCATTGCAGCAGCACAAAAACAACAATGTCTATGGAATGTACCATTGCAGCACGCAGACCTGGCCTAGAACAAAGAGGCCGTTCAGACAGCCAAAGGCCATCAGATCGTCGCACTCTTCCTTCAGGCTGTAGATGGCAAGCCCGTGGAAGCATGGAAAACCATGGGAAAGCCATGAGCGGAGTCCTTTGAGAATGCACCGCATGAGCGGATCATGTCCACAAACGACCTTGCAGCTGTGCAGAGGCGCTCTCCAAGCAATACCGCACACCGAGTGCCAAGACATTGGTCGGATGAGGCAGCGGATTGTTCCATCAGGACACTGATGTCTGAATACGATAGAAGGCCTTTCCTACAATTCTTTCAGGTGGCCTTTCGGCATGTGCTCTTACTCTTGCTGACACGAGAGTCCGAAGCAGGCAGATCAGGCAGGCAAGTTGGCAGCAAGGGCTGGGACACAGCGATGCAACCGTCGACGTTGAGGATCAAGTTTGCTCTCTTTCGTGTTGTGATCTGCTCCTCAGAGTGGCAGCCAAGAGAGCACATGTCTACGCCTGAATCCTGCAGCGCTGTCAGATTCGACTAACTCGAAGCTCAGATTCCACTGCCAGTGCATAGTCAAGAACGGGCGTGGAGTTGAAGTTCTTCTTGGCGAAGCCCTTGATAATCTCCACCTTATTTTAAGAGGAGGGACTTGCAAGGATGGGTGTAGAAGGCATGCAAAGAGCAAGTCCGAAAGAAGCCAGGGGCATGGCACGCTGATCGGGATTGGCCAAGGACTTGATTCGATGTCCGATCCCCATGATGAGCTGGTTGCTTTTCTTCATCTTCTCGATCCAATCCTCAGGCAATCGTGAGCTTTGTTGCGTGAGCTTCGCAACCCAGCCCGTCCCGCCTTCGGCGCCACACCACTGCCCTGGGCCTCTGCAAACCTCATTGATCATTTCAATCATCTCAATATTCGGGACATGTCATTAAGGCTCGTTAAGATGTACACGATGCGTGGCACTTCTGCACCACGCAGATCATTCCTCGACTCCTCTGTGAGAATAGCCTGGTGGCATCTTGGCAGCGTCGTCAAGTGCGCCACCAAAGCGCGGACCAATTGTTAGCAGGCCACTGCAGAGGGAGGACACAAGGTCCTTGCCTGTCGCGCCGCACCAAGGCATACTACTTTTCGTGCTGTTGCTGTGGCCCTCAGAAAATGCAGCCGACTCGCGTGACTTCAGCGGCATGGAGCACTTCACGTTGACAGCTTTGTAAATGAGTTGGCTCTGCAACGATGAGACACTTAGTCATTGCTCGAAGAGTGCCTGCGCGAGCCGTGACGATGGTGTTGTGAGCGCCGCTGACAGCGGGGCCGTGGTCGGCTGTGACCATCAGAATCATCTCCACGAACTTGGTGCAGTAAGCCTCAGGGTACGCGAAGTTGCTACCAGCACCACAGCAGAAAGCGGTGCGAACCTTCGAAACAAACAGCCCATCAAAGACACGAAAAGAAAGCAGATTTCTCTTAATCAGACGGTCGTGGGCGAGCTTTGGACAGACCCGCGCCGGCATGGGTAGGATGCGTGGTAGAGTCGAAGCAGGCGTTGAACCCCAAAACTCTCAGCACCGGACCGGGAGCTGGCGGCGGAACCAAAGCAAGGAGAGCACGCCACCGATGCCGATCTCCTGCATGGATGGAACAGCCGAAAAGCCGATGCAGACGGTACAAGGTACGGCACATCTTGCCACCCTGACGTCTTGAGGTCTTGAGGTCTTGAGGTCTTGTAAACAAAGAACATCCAAGAACAAGATCCAAGCCCCTGCCCCTGTCTTAACTACCGCCTTGTCGGCCGCCGCTGTTAGACTGTAGGGCCGTACACATTGGTACAGTGGACGCTGCGCAGCAGTCGTGCTCCCCACTCCAGCTGCAAACACGCCGCGAGAAGCAGCTAGAGCGCACACATGTGTGAGGAGGTATTGCGGTTTTGGGGACGAAGTGCTTGGCTTTCCATTTTGAATGTGTGGGAGTGGAGTTCTTTCTCGTTTGTCTGGTGGTCCTCAGGTCTGGTGGTCCCCTGGTCTGCTGCTCCTGTGGTTCTGTCATACTGTCATACATTTGCTGATGCTTCTCGCTAGTTTGCCTTGAATATTATTGACCTTTGTCTGAGTTGAAGCATAAGGGACTCCACATTAAATTCCAGAGAGAGCCCTCTGGATAGAGAAATACTGATGCTCTGGCGAGCTGCTTCTGCAAGTTAACAACGTAATCGCTCGCCTCCGTGCGGCTTCGTCAGTTCGGTTCTTCACCCTACGAAGCACCTTGCGTGTCCTGGCGCAGACCCCCCTAAGTCCGGATCGGTGCAGGTGTTGGCAGGGTTATGGCATGCTTCTTGCTGCTCCATGAATACCTCCTGCATATGCCGAAGCTGCACCACTTGCGTGTGAGCCCATTCACAGTCCAGGGCTCTATGCCAGTTGCTTTGAAAACTCTGCCCGCTGCTCGGGCCATTGGCTGAGCTGGTATGCAAGCCCAACATAAACGGAAAAGAGCCAAAGAATCCTGATGGGACCCGCGCCTTCGTGAAGACATCGGAGATGGACATTCCGCAATACGTGAGCTCCTGGAGTCGACAGGGAGGTTGGGGCACATTAGGGGGGATTCAGGGGGGAGCACATGACACCTCTTTACACCTCTTGAGGTGCAGATGCAGATGTGGCCCCATCCTCCCCACGGTCGTCCGAGATGGAGGAGATGAAGTTCGCGGGCTTCCTTCCACACTTGGGCTTCTATATATATATATATATATATATATCTATTACTATTACACATATATGTATGTGTATATTACATATATCTTATGCCAAGGGGGAATGCAACATCATGCAAGGCTGGTCCTCACCATACCCAGCTTCTTGGCCCAAGTGTAGTCCATAGGCACCTGCCGAAAACGGCCCCCGACGCACTGAACATCCCCGACTCTGCGTCCCTGCACCGTGCCTGCGGGGTCTCACCTTCCGGCTCCTCCACAATCTCGCCCGCTTCCACCAGGCCGGTGTACACCTGCGCTGAGTCAATGAGAACCATACGGAAGAAGCGTTTTTTGTAGTGCTGACTGCCGGTGCCTGGTTGATCATCTCTGGCAGCTTGTCGAAGGAGTCTGGGACATGGAAGCCAGCTTCCTTCATCGCCTGGTGCGGACAGTGCTTTAAAGAGCCTCTGAGCTTGAACGCCCTCCGAAGCAAACACCAACTCTGACACTTTCATGAAGTTTCTTCTGCTGACCATGACACTTTTTTCGACGGTACGATTGGCATATGGACACCCAATCAACGGCACTACGTTGAGGCGAACGCGACTTACTCCACGGCCTTGTTCTTTGCGGCGGCGGTCTCCATGTCACCACGTGCCTGCGCATCTTACCTTACCTGCTTTGAATGATGGTCCTCAATGCACTCTGAAGACTCCGCCTGCGCACCCGCATGCCCGAATTGGACCTGCAAGACTTCGTGGAGTTTGCACAGAGCACAAGCAAGATGTCGAGTCTAGATGCAGAGGCCCCTTCATGACACTAGTGGCCTCGGTTGTAAAGCAGGACGCGCACGTTCCCACGCACCAGGCCACCACCGGCTTCGTGATTCGACCTTTCTTGACAGCCTGCACAACACGTTTCGATTCAGAGGCTTTTGCGTGACTCCGCTGCCCTCTCTGAAACCCCAAGGGCCTCGATGAGGTCGTACTCATCCAGTCCGCCAACCTCTCCCAAGAGCAGCAGCATCTTGGCCTTGGGGTCATCCTGCGAGGTCACAGGATGTGGTGAAGTCCTACATAACGCGTGTGATGCAGTGATACACGCTCTGCACATGACACACACACACACATACACATATCGCGCGTGGATAAGCTCCTGATAGCGGAGGAAGTGATCAAGGAAGCGGCTGCCTGGATAGCGGTCACCACCTCACAATGCATCTCCAACAGAGGCTGAGATGGCAAGCTGACCTAAATACCTAAACTCCGCCGAAACTGACACTGGCTCACTGGCAGACAGAGGCACCGATTGCGACTCCCTCGTAGACGCCATTCGAGTTTCGGCACACGATGTTGTTGAGCTCGTTGGACCTGAGCTGTTAGTCGGAAACCCACCCACCCCTTTCAAAAGCACACTGTGGCTTCCGGATGGTTTCGGCATGCCTCTGGGGTTTAGGGCTCAGAGCTCGCCGTGGTTCGCCACTCCTATCCCTTTTTTTCAGGGTTAGCCCGGAGTTAGCCCTGAATCCTGGGCTTGCTGCCAGGCGTGTATGTGCTGAACAATACAACTGCGCCACTCGCTCGAACTGTGCTAATTTCAACGGTCTAGGGTCGCTTAATGGCCAGCTTCGCCTCCCCCCAAGCATGGAAACCACGACAAAGAGGCAACTCATCCCGAGACGTGAGGATATGTGAGGCTCTGGCATTCCACCAGACTTGGAGACATATGCCACGGATCCCGGGCGATAAAGGCGGGACATGACGATGTTGTCCAACCTCAGCAAACACCGATATCAAAGCAGAGTCTCTTATGAGACTTACCCTGGCCATGGCCTCTTCATTTTCGGCCAAGCGCGGCTACTTACAGCTTCACATCACAGGCACCTTCTGCTGTGAGCATGAAGATAAGTCCAAGACATTCCGCCGGTGTTGCCAATTCGGAGGCAGCCCGGCTTGATGCCGCCCACCGTCGCAGGACCAATGAGGCCTCTGACACGCAACCAATACACGCACAAGGGGTGTGACAAACACTTGTGGCACATTGGTTTTGGGATCTCGACAACACTGTCCAGCCTACGCCCTTGGCTTCCGCAACCTTAATGATCTCCCTCGTCTGCTGCTCGGGAACTCCCTGCACCGAAAATTGGCAGAAGCATCCGGAGCCAGCTTTATGCAGGAGCATTGGAAACCTCGGCAATGATGGCGATGGTCTTGAGGTTGGAGTGGGTCATGGCCTCTTGTGTCCGACGAGAACATCATCCACTTCATGGGCTTAGGGTTTAGGGTTTAGGGTGTAGGGTTTACGGTTTAGGGTTTACGGTTTAGGACCTCCATCGACGTCTCATGGACGGAGCGGAAAGAAGCAAAGTTGACGAAGACCGAGACGTTGGGATGCTTCTGCACGGCCTTCGACAAGCTAGGGACCTCAGCGCCTCAAACATAAGCCAGAGCCGAAGAAAGCGCTGACGCAGCCTCCTTCGTGGTCGTGTAGACAGGCATCAGGACCTCAGCTTTCGAGAGCAGATGAAAGTTGGTCCTGTCTTCTAAGCACTACACCAGCAGAAGCATGCCAAAACAACGTACCGCCGGATTCCTCTTTGCAGGCGCGTTTGCTCTCAGTGTCTTTTTGGCATTGAGCTCATGACCTCTTCGGTGCCCCAGTAGAACTTGACCTGGGTACACGAAAATATGATACCACCGGGAGACCGATCTGCGATGCGTGTCTACTCTGTGCTGGGGTGAATCAGTGAACCATGTTGTGAACCTCTGGCTCCAGAACAGGCAGACGTTTTTCAGACAAGGTGCGTAGTGGTTGCCTCAAGAAATGCCAGCAGAACACACTTATTGACGAAGCAGCACCCAAGTCTTGCAACACACATATGCTGAGGCCAAGATGCCGGAGAAAGGGAAAATCATGGCTTCCACAGAAGGTTTCTTGCCTTGAGAAGCAGGCCATGGCTTGGGATGTATGTCTGCTGGCGACATGTCGCCCTAGAAGGTATTGGGAGTTCGGTGCTTCGGCCGGATCATACTCACAATACTCACAAGCAGCACCTCAGAGCTTCCCCAACATCTCGCCAAGCGTCGTTTGCACATAAAGTCGAAATCAAGCATGCCTCACATCAGGCACGACAGAGTTCATGAGCTACACCTTTACACCCTTGACAGCACAGGTATCCATTCCATGCGGATCCAATGGTGCGCCGAGAAGCCCTGGACAGCGCGGTTCTGCATGCCGTACACAATGCAGGTGGTCTCAGGCCTGGTTTGCAAGACGGCACGCCGCGAAACGTCGAAAGACTCGAAAGCCCAGCAGAAACGGGGAGGCCCTTTGCTGAGCAACCTGCGTGGCTGTGACAAGCGTGTGCTTGGTGCCTGAACACAAATGCTTGGAGTGATAGTCCCGAAAACACTATCAGAAACCCTAAACCCCAAACCCTAACCCCTAAAGCGACTCTGCATAGGTTCTGCACCTGCTGGCGCCGGCGGGTGGCCCTTAGGCGTGGGCCTGCTACAGCTTTCCAATCCACAGGACAAGAGTCTTGGACGACACCACTCCAAGTTGAGTATACTGAGGAGGGGACTTCTTGCCCTTCATGTCGACCAGGCTCCTCACCTTAGAATAGGCAGTTTGCCATTGCAAGTGTTTCCAAAAGCATGTAGCACAGCCATGCAAAGCCATGCAAAGCCATGCGAAGCCATGAAAAGGCGCTGGCTGGGGGACCGCAGGGTGCCGAAAGGTCTGGCTCCGGAAGTGGCTGGATCAGGCCCAAGGCCTCGGGTTCAAGCTCCTGAAACTCCCCCTGAAGCGAAGCTTCCCAACTGCCCGAAGAACATCCTAAGAACATCCTAAGACATCAGAAGGCCTCAAGCACCTGTGGCCCCTGCCATTGGGATGACGGCGGTGATGTGCGTCTCAGGCCCATAGACCTGAGGCCCATCCGACCCATCAGACGAGGGCAACGCAAAAGAGCCTGCGATAGCTAACGGCATGGCTCAAAGTGGCAGTAGGCTCCTGACTTTGATGCCCAGCCCCAGCTTGTCGCTGGCCGCCTTCACTTTCCGCAGGCCCTCTAAGTAGTTGGGCCCTGCACGACGGATGTAGATTTTGATCTTGTGCTCCTGCAGTGGGTCACGTCGACATGGCCTCAACATGGCAGCGTTCCTAGCACCTCTTACTCTCCGCGCCTTAATGTCCTCTGCATACTCTTGCAGAGCCTTGATGAGGCCAGTGAAGGTTGCGGCCACATCGGTGAAGTTAGCGATACCACCACCAATGATGAGGTACTTGCCATCAGGATGCTTGTACTTCATCATCAGCGACAGCAGGGTCTTGGCATAGACGAAAGTCTCTTCCGTGGACGGAGCTCCGGAGTACTCTCCGTAATTCGCCAACTCTGTGCCCATGCCATAGTCCGCAACGGTGTCCGCGTACACGACAGAGGCGCCTCCGCCAGCAACCATGGTCCAGACTCGTCCTTTCTCGTTGAGGATGGTCAGCTTCAGTGAGGCACCCGTCTTGCCATCCATATCACGGATGAGGGCCTCCTCGGGGTAGGCAGCACGGCCGAATGGTGGTGGCCAATCCAGCTCACCCCACTTCTGCGCGCAGAGGAAGTTTGCAGTCTCATCGATCTTAGCAGCCATGTCGAGCGGGACCACAGTGTTGTCATCAAGCATGACAAGAGGGTTGATCTCAAGGTAGGCGAAGTGCAGATCGGTGTAGAACTTGTAGAGGCTGAGAATGAAGGATGCCATGTTGCCCTTCTTGGCGCCCGGCAACTTGCTCAACAACTTCTCCGTCACGATGGCCTCCGTCAGCTTGTCGCCAAATGGAAGCTCCAACCTCTCTGCCTTCGCATCGACATCGCCCACATCGACACCACCCTCATGATAGAACAGGATCTCATCATGGTACCGGTGGGACAGCATGCAAATGTAGTGCTCCTGCTCCTGCTTGTGGGGCACAAATGGCTCGATCAAGAAGTGGTTCAGCTGCCCGGTGACGTGCTCCACCTGCTGATCCTTGCACATGCGGTCCATCACCCACTTCTTGGCCTCCTCGAAGGGCTTGTTCACGGCAAGGAGCCCGGCTTTGCCACGGCGCTTGATAAGCTGGTCCGGCTTGGCCACCAAGTTGGTCGTCTTCAGCCATGGGTTTTCCTGCAGAATGCTGTCCCAAGTCTGGCTTCCAGTGCTGTCCAGCACAGCAGGCGTCACGAGCACACCTGCGCATCCCATCTTGTGCTTGCCGCCGGAGACCTCTGGCAAGTACTTCTCCAGGAGGCTCTTCCCTGCATGCTCGCGGATAGGCTTCACCGACATGGCTCCAAACCGGGTGCGACGAAAGTGGCAACAAAAGCAACTTGAGCCAAGTCGAACAGCATGAGCATGTACCAGCCAGCCTGTATTTCAAAACTCTCGGCAGAAGCAATGTGACACACACAGCACGGATTTGAGCTCTTCAGAGGGTTTGCAAGCATGTGTGAGACTTGCTATTCAGGAGCTTCTGAGGGCTGTCGGCCACGGTAGCGCACCTGGCATCCACACAGAGCCAGAACAGGTCGAGTCCATGGGGCAGAGGATGCCTCGCCGTAGAGAATGCCTTGAAGGCAAGAGCATACCAATTGCTTAAGAACCCCCCAAAAAACTAGAAACAGTCTTCTTGATAAGGGCAATTTACTAGGGAGGCAATATTAGGGATTAAAATTTTAAAACCACTTCTTTACAGCTTCAAGATGCAGCTTTGAGGGCCCGGCCGTGATCAATAAGCGCCGCACGCAGGGAGCACTTCCTGACGCGGCTTGGGATCTTGGAAAAGTCTGGAGGGGCCTTCCACAGAAACTCTTGGCACCGGGCACGGGCATGGCACTTGCCTCAAGGAAGGCCTGGTAGATCACCTGCACATTCGCATGCCATGCACACATTCAGCTGCGAGCAACACATCCCTTAGCGCAGTGAGGCTGCAGGATCTCGTGCACCGTCCCGTGTACAAACGCTTTGCTGTACCATCCGACAGACTTTCTGCCTCTCTTGTCTGGGCGTAGCGGCTGCTGTGCAATGGTCATCCAAGAAAATTTGAACCTAGAAAGGAATTCCACTAGTCAGCCCATCTACATCAGCGGATTGCGCTGCCTCCACAACTTCTGCAGGGATAGCAAGCACAATCCCAAAACGAATTGGTACGAATTGATCACTGGCCCCTGGTCTCAGCCATACAAGTTGCGGGCATTGGATTTCACATCGTCCTGCATGCGGCGGACGCCCTCAGCAGCCTTCTCCAAGTAAGATGAGCCATCCAGAATCTTGGCATCGCTGGTCCGATCCCAGGCGGCCAGCATCTTGGCATCGCTGACGACCCTGCGCAGGTCCGCACAGCAGAAGTGGTCGCTGGCCTGCGCTGCAGCCTTCACGTCCGGCAGCTCGCCGTTCTTTGAGAGCAGCTCCATCGCACCCGGGTCATCTTTGATGTACTTCCGCAAGATGGCGTACTTCTGCCGAGGCTCCGGCAGCTTGGTCTTAAGCCAAAGCTCGATGCGGCCACTCCGGAGGAGCATCTCAGCCATCCAGTGCACATTTTGGCCAGTGAGGACCACAACGACGTCCCCGGTCTCTCGCTGCCTCTTGCCACGGGATGTCAAGCCATCCATGCGCCCGAGAAGAAACCGGAAGATGTCGGAGCCCCGATGTCCGTCCAAAGGCCGCCAGCCTCCGATCACGATGTCCGCGTCATCGATGAAGACCACGGAGGGCGCGGCGGCCTGTGCAGCTGCAAAGACTTTGATGATGTCGGCATGGAGCATCATCTCACGTACCAGGAAGAACTTGCCTTTCAACCTGTTTGCCAGCCAGCGGCCCACGGTGGTCTTGCCTGTGCCAGGCTGACCGTGGAGCAGTACTCCGCGCTTGGGGGTGAGCCCGAACTTCTTCGCCTGCTCAGGGTTCTCTAGAGGAAAGAGCACGTTGCGCTCCAGCTCTTCCTTGATGCCCTCCAGCCCGGGATACTCTGCCAGGTCTACAGGTTCCACCTCTTCTGGGGCAACTGCTGACACAGACACCAACTCATCCCTGATCGAGCTCACAAGGCCTTCAGTCGTGACTGGTGTCACATCACCGCTCTGCGTGGCCAGAACGCGTGCTGTCGCCGATTTCAGGTCTGCGGGGGAGAGCTGTGAGTGCAAGGCATAAATTGCCTCCTCATCTATGGCTCCCTGCGACCCCAGCACGTTCTTCAAGATTGCCCCATAATCTTCCACTGTCGACTCGCCCAGAGTTACAGCCAGGGGTGTGTTGATGAAAGCTAGGTGCGCATCTTCAACCGAGGAGAAAGCAACGACACCGTGAGCCGACGATGCTGCGTCACTCAAGGACTTAATGAGCATAGCAGGCGACGGCGCAACTTCCCAATTGTAGAGGTCTCCAGCACCCTTGATGTCCCCAATGAGGGTTCGAGAGCGGCGCACCGAACGAGGGGCAACGGCAAGATCAAGGTCATCAATGACAGCGATACCATGCTTCTCCAGAGATGCCAGTGCAGCTGCATAAAGCGTTTTCAGTGCCTGGCCTTCTTGGCCCTCCCCCGCCTGGCCAAGGGCAGTCGACACCCCAAGGAACGGCACGCCAAATTGAGCTGCTGCCGACTTCAATATCGAGGTCACGCCGTATCCTCGTCCCAGAGCTGGGGGCGAGCGCAACTCTACAAGGGGCGCAGCCTTTGTTTTGACAGCGCGAACAAGGAAATCGAGCGCCTTCTGCTGGGTGGGAGAAAGCTTCATCATCCCATTTGGTCCATTCATGCTGGAGGGCAACGGGCTGGCAGGATATGGCCGTGATTGAATTTCCATCTCTGGGCACAAAAAGGCTGCAGCAAGGACTAACAGATGAAAAGGATTCTGAGGTCTTTAAGCGACTCTACCATTGTAACGTGGCTTTCGCCTTGCCTCTGCCTTCACACGGGATGGTCCACCTTCTCTCACGGCTGCACTGAATGTATCCAGCCTTGGGCGAGGCGAGCAGCAGTGCTGTCTAGGACCAGAGCACCCATGACAGGCATGAATACTTTTCAAGTCAGCACTTCTCGTGCAACATTGCGCAACCTCCTTAGGGCACTGTTGGGAGGAGCAACCAACATGTTGAAACCAACAGAAGAAACGTACCGGGCTCGTCCATCACCTGAAATATGCAGGGCTGAAAACGCCGTAACTGTTTTGAGGATCATGTGCATCGGTGACGTGATCCTTGAGACGCTTCTCGCTGTTGAACTGGACAGGCATGAGGTCTCAACATTTCGGTTTCCGCAAGGCACTTTGCGGCGTGTTTCTGGTGCTTCAATGCCTACAGCATCCTTTGTCACCTCCGTTTTGTTTTCGAAGTCCTGCCTTGACATCTGAGACAGGAGCGCAGCATTGATAGCGGTGGAGTCCTCCCTGTCCGGCCAGTTCACCTACGCAACAATGCCCGGAGTTGCTATCAGCTCAAGAGCGCCCGCGCCTCGGGAGGTAAGGCTTCTTGGCGAAGAGCAGCATAGGCCTGTGATGTTCCCATCAAAGCCATGGATCAAGCTAACTCTGAAACTCATCGGTCTGCAAGTTCGTTCAACCTGATGCAACCGGGTAGAAACACTGGCCTCATCGGCCACAACCTCGAAGCTGTGATGCCAGAATAATCCGTCTTCGACCTCCACTGCACGTGGGCACATGTGCACGGCTCTGCTTGGATCAAGGTGCACACAACCGACTAGGGCAACACAGCACACCACGGCCTCTCGCCAGATGGTGGTGTCGTCTAGACGCTTGTGCAATGCCTCACTTGATCTCTGTCTGCCGAACTGGCAGAAAGCTTGGGGTCACAAAGGGCAAACCTCCACTAGCTGCATAGCTCATGTCATGAAGGCCTCACTATAGCCGGAGACGAAGTCACGGCACTCCTTCCACGGACTTTGAATCGGTGCCCCTTACGGATGACTCTTGTCCACTCTCTCATTTGTTTTGGTCCTGGAAAAACGGTTCGACATCCTTTTGCGCCACCTAATGTTGCAAATGCACACAGGGGGCATGCATACAACCCACTTACAGCCACGTACACCTGCAACAAAAGCATGTTGCAGGCGGTGGGGAATGCACCTCGTTCGCCAGGGCCAGTAGCTTCTCGGAGTCCTGCCGAAGGACTACAGGCACTTTAAGCAAACGAAAGGCTCAGTCAAGAACTTGCATCAAGAAAGAACGCGTGAGAAAGGCGCACTTGGACTTGAAACAAGCAGCGTGCAAAAACAAGCTTGCAGACACGCGCGAGAAGGAGCGCGAGATTGTTCCAGATCGTCCCTATGTGACTGGTGAGCATCTTGAAAATCTCGGGATTTTGTTGTTCTCCTGTCGATTCTTCTGCCTACTCCCTCCTCATCGCACGGCGAATAGCAGCGGGCAGCACAAGCAGGAGACGCGTGCATTAGGCTGGCAACTAAGGGCCGCGCAGGGCTGGCGGGCAGTGGCGAGCCAGGGTGCTGCACCATCGGTCGATTGCATGTCGAAGGGTGGAAGGCAGGAAGGGAGAAAGGAAGGGAGGAAGGGAGGCAAAGGGCCATCTGCAAACTCTTGCTGCGTGTACCATCCTTGCGTCGTCCAAGAAGCGCTCGGTAGCAGGCAAAGCAAGCTCCAAGGATTCCAAGCGATCCATGGCCGTGGGCGGAACACGTTGTGAAGCAGCATGCTGGCTGTGAAGGGCTGGCTGTGAAGGAGGGACGGTCAAAGCTACCAAAGCAGTGGCGGGGCGCAACCGCAGCCAGTTTTGAAGGGCTCGCCCGGACTACAACCATGAGGCAGTATTGCTCTGCTGCATGCTGCTGCCAGGGGTTGAGAGAGCCGGGCCAGGTCCACAAGGGGATTGGATTTTGCCGCAAAGATCGAGGAATGTCGACAGATGTCGACGGTGACACCTTGCATGGGCCGCGCCACACCACAAAGTACCACAAAGAGATCAATCAGAGGTTTCAGAACATGGTGTGCAGTTCGCAGAACACCGCGAGTCAGGGCACAGTGGATGTTCAAGGGTACACCGCGATCCTGCCGCCGGCATCATGAGCCTTATCGTCCCCTCGCTTCTTCCTCAGCCGGCCCTCAGTCCGAAACCAAGCCATGACTCCCAAACTGTCCCTGCCCGACCCGATTCCCTTCCGACCTCAGAACCCTCATTGTTAAAACCTGTCACAGGTTCCATGCATCAATGGTACGAAGCGAAGCTCTTACGAGCATTTCGACCGGTCCTCGCCGGCAGCTTCGACCTCCTCCGTTCTCAGGCGCAGTGCGCAGCAAAGGTAGAACCTTCATCAGCGCTCAAAGATCATTCGGTTTGTATAAGGTACTTCGTCGATTTGGCACGTCTTTGTATCTCAAGAAACGGTGCTGCAAAGCTAGTCAAAAATATTTTTAGTCGTCGGTCGGGGCGTGGGGTTTGGGTGTGAGGCTTGTGTGGCCTTTTAATTTTCTGTGCAATCAGGACTATGATAGAAAAACCTAGAAAAATCTAGAAACTAGATTTTCCCGGGTTTTCGGGCGAGCCCCGGGCGGGGCCCCAGGCTAGTCGGCTAGTCGTAAGCAACTCTCGCCAATGTTTCCAAGAGCTTTGGTGGCAATAGATTTCCACATCCCTCATCCCTACACTCTGCACCCGACAACCCTACGGCTTTCCAATAACAAGGTTTGAGACATGAATGATTCCAGCAGAATATTACAGAATACCAGGGTTTCAGTGATCAGTGAAGGAACTATCTAGCTCCCTCACTCGTGTTCCGAGGGCCAAAGAGGGCATCCGTATCTAAGAAAAGAACCAGAAAGCTGAGAGCAACTACAGGTTTGCTTGCCAAACCCTTCCCTTTTTCCTCCCAGGCTTTTTCGGAAACATCTACCCCTACCCCAGAACCCAAGATGTCCAGGTCTACGCCAAGCCGAAGAGGATGATGGCCAACACGACCGCTCCCGCACCGAGTAGCTGTCGCTTGCTGAGAACTTCTTCGAAGAGCACAGCAACCATCACGGCCCCTGAGATCGTGTAGATGCCATTCTCCACTGTAGAGATCAAGGCACCAGAGAAGTAGCCCTCTAGAGAGAACGCGAAGGTACTGATCAGGCCGCCGCAACCTGAGATAAGTCCACACACCATCGTTCCCATCAGAAGAAACCGGAAACGGCGATCACGCAGACTCTCCCGTCTGCTGCCACTATCAACTGTCAGAATTCGACCAAGAGGAACGATGGTAGTGCACATCATGTAGATAAAGTACGTACAAGTTGTCCAATCGTGCTTGTCAGCATCGCTGCTTCCATGCACCCCAATCTTCTTCCCCAGTGGCCCCCACCCCCAGCATGCTCCGGCTGCAGCGGCCAACATCACGGACCTCATACGAAGAAACGTCGGGGCAATGACGGAATCCGATGCCTCGCTATCAGATCTCTTCATCATCGGCTCCAGATCCGATTCCGACTCCGATTCCGTGTCAGCACAGGCTGGCGGGTCCTTTCCTCGGGAAGAGCTCTGCGCCAGGACAACACCAACCAAGATGAGCACGATACCAACATACGTCAGGGGCTTCAGGTGCTCTTGGAAATACACGGCGATGATCAAAGCACCGGTCGTGGTATAGACGCCATTCTCTATCATTGAGATTAAAGCACTCGAGGATCCTGCGGACCAAGCGAAGGCCAGTGTGCCCAGCAACCCACCTGCGCCGCTGACGAGCCCACAACCAATGATCCAAGGCAAGCGCTGGTTCCACTCTGGATTATTCCAGGTCCTTGACCAGCCGTCTCCACCCATTCGAATAAGATCAATGGAGGGGGAAATCACCGTTGTCAGCGAGTAGACGAAGATTGTAATTGCCGAGCCTCGCACCAGCTCACTACGAAGCTCACTTCAGACATCGCCCTGATACTACCAAGCCACTTTTGTAGGCTACTCACACCTGGCCACCTGGCCTTAAAAGAACCAAAAAACCGAGAAACTCATTGCACTGAACATCCGGGATGCGAGCCGCTCTATTGGCATTGGTGGCTCCTTCAACCCCCAGCCGCTTGCCCACAATGCCGAATGCCCACAGCAAACCACCAGCGGTGGCAAGCAGCAGCGGGGTAACCGAGGTCATCTCTACAAGGCCACAAGATGCCTTCTCAAAACTTCCCAAAGCATATTGACTGGATATTGCTTCACGGGGTCCATGTGTAGTTTGGACTAAACCATTTGCAACAACAACTTCAGAAGTTCCTTGCGGCCATCGCTATGGCCAGAAGCACAAACTAAACATGCATCCAACCCGGCTGACAGAGCAATGAGCTGCTCATCGAACATCGGGTTCATGAGGTTCGTGGGGTTCGCGGGATCATGTTCATTGGCAGCCCGACGAAGGAATCTGCTGTACACAGGGTACACACTCAGCTCCGGGCTCACCCAATGCTGCCTGCGCCTTCTCATTCATGAAAACGTGCGGCCTCGAGGCGCGCTCGGGGGAGGGGGGGGGGGGGGGGGGGTGGGAAACTACTCCCCCCGAGCAGAGAGCATGTTATGCACAGCTAGCAGACAAAAAGGCTGCAGCAGACGTTGAGCATGTCTGAGCCAGCAACCGCTTCAGGTCTTTGCGATTGCACTTTTCCTTGTGGCAGATCAATCTGCGCCGCAGACGCTCGTGCAAGCTCATGTTCGACTTGGGCAAGCTGCTACGAAGGCAGCGTAGCGCGGCAGACAAACGGCCAACTTCCTGCCACGATGCGGTCACCGTCATTGGCGATCTTTAGCTGGGATTGGCGCGAACAGTGAGCACTTGTGCAACAGGCCAGCGAGTCTCCCAAGTGCCAAACCTAGGCAGGAGGCTGTGGATCTTGGAGGCAGAGTATCAGTCAGAAGATCTGACTCTCGGATGAAGCAATACGTTGCTACATGGCGATGAACTAAAAACAATGATACGATTGTATGATGATGTTATAAACAATGTCTGTTCTGCACAAAGCTGTGGAGCCGACAGGCCCTGCGCCTTGCCGGTCCAAGATGGGTGGAGCTTGCCGACACAGGCCTCTGAGTCAAATCAAGCCTCTCCAAGCCTCTTCTACCGCCAGCTGAGCGGCGTCACAATGGGTATACAGCCTACATTTCTACTCCATCCGAGAGCCCCAGTATATGATCTGTCACAATCGGCATATAGCCTACATTTTCTACTACATCCGAAAGCCCCAGAGTTTCTGATCTCTAGGATGCCCCCCCCCCCCCGGTTGCCCACGTCCCCAAGGTCGTCACATCGGCCACTGCTTGCGCAGCTCCCGGAAGGAGCGGGTGTAGAGCATACCTCCGTGGCAACACGATGTGTAGGTTTACGAGAAAAAGGGGCGAACCTAAAAAGAGACCCCCCCAAATAGTAGGATTCACTGAAGAAATAATGACCCCAATAAGGTACCCCTAATTTCGGAAACCCCCATGTGTATCTTCAAGAGTCACGAAACCCAGCAGAATCCTACCGTACCCATGAAAGGAAGCAGCGCTACTGGCGGGTGCGAAAAGGTAACCAAAGGGCACGCAAAAAAGAGCGGCCAAAGGGCCTTCCGGTGTATTTGGAGGCCGCAGCCGCTGCTGCGGCGGCCATTGTGGGCAGGATAATCTCTGTGACTTGTAGTGCTGTATATTGGCTTTATTCCTGCGACTTCCAACATGTTCGGTGGTGATCTGGATGCAACAACCCTGAAATAGGGCTCATGGCGCCCTTCCCTGCCGCATCGGCTTCCATTTGTGTGACCTATACTACGGAAGCAGTCTCACACCCAGCATTCTTTTTCTTCAGCATTCATGCATCACGGCGCCCGACAGGATCGTTGTCGGCTTACAATTTTCAATGTCATTAAGCGAAGTCACGTTCAACATCAGGCACTTTGGAGCGTCTTTGGCACCAACTACCACGTATTACATACCTTGGCTTGCAGATCACCGCAGCCAATGCAAACGGTCCAGGAACAAATCAATAAACAAGCCATAAACACAAGTACCCATTCGCACCCATCGCCCAGCCATGGCACAACCGGTTCTCATCTCTTTGGATGACCTGAGCACCATCGATGGACAGAGCAGCTCTGAGGCTCCCAAGCTGACGACGCGCTGACGACCTCTCATCCAACATTGCCCCTCATAGCCCAACATATCCCAACATATCCCAACATATATAGCCCAATATAGCCCACCCCCCCCAGAGGCCCGAATCCCTCGTTCCAAGCTCGCAGCTGCAATCAAGGTCAGCCCTGCCTTTTATTGACATCGTTCTTTTCAGGTTCCCATGCGCAAGGTTTGACCATTGGCTCAGCAAGGTGGCATACAGACCCCAACATTCATGGTTCATGCCCTCGTGTCTACCCAGAGAACATTTTCCGATGATGGGCCTGGTGACCTGGAGAATCTTCCTCGCAGAAACCCATATGTGCCGCCTTTGTGAAGTGCCCAGCGCAGGCAGACGCAGGCACACGCCATCACACGCAGGCACACGCAGGCACACGCACGCACACGCACGCACACGCACGCACACGCAGGCACACGCAGGCACGCGCAGGCACGCGCAGGCACATTGGTCGCAGCAGAAAGGTGCAGAGGCCCTGAGAGATCAAATACAGAGCTATGGCTACACTTCACCAAGCAGGTCCAGCGGCATTTGCAGGAGAATGTCATTGTCCTTCTTCAGATATGACTGGCCTTGGCTCAACTGAAACTGGTCCATGGGACAGCTCAGAACGACATCTCTGGGGCGCAGGCTCCTGCGCTCGGACTTGAACGTTTCGAAGTGGAGCTGCTTGGTGATGATGAACCTACTATGAACCTACTAAGAGATGCTTAAGACTATAGCGACGATCCGATTCCCCACATGGTCCGTGCGGTGCCTCCGCCATGCCGGGACCAACAGCAACAGAACAAGCACAACCATCAGCATCTCGACGACTTCCTTCTCGCGCTGCCTAGAGAATGTGCGACGCTCAAAGTAAGCAATGGTGCGAGTTACAAGTCGCAACTGAGGAAGACACCCATGCGCAACGATCTCGATAGCTTTCTCGAAGCACAACTCCCAGTCAATACCAATGATGAGGCCGGTAGCTGTGACTGCGCTCCTTGCACAGCAACAGCATTGCGGGAGGATGTCATGACAAGGGGTTTTCGACAAATAGGGGTACCCAATTTGGGGGTTATTTAAGGGGTCCTATTCTATTTGGGGTTTGGAAGGGGATACTCCCTCTTTTCCGAAACAGTCATAGAGGTCTTGAAGGCATCGTCTTCCCAAGCTCGCCTGATGTTCCGTCGCTAAGGCCCTTGCTTGAACGATCGGCCAAGCGATCCGAAGCGAGAAAGACCTCATCAGGTGCATATGTCGCATTGGATCATAGAACCATCTGCCGAATCTGGAAGGCGACCAAACACCTCGAAAGTCCTCGAAAGTCTGCATGATGCGATGTATCACTGTGTGTAGGTACTGGCTGCTTGGATAGGCCCACCACACACATCTTCCAGCTTATCGAGGAACAGCACGACAATGTACCCCAGCAGAGAAGTGACGAAAGCCTCAGGTACGGCAAAGCCGTTTCAGTAGCTGGAGGCTCGAATCCAAAACTGATGCCAAGCTGGTAAGCAGCAGTCGGGAACCAGGCGTTACACCCCTTACGCCTATCACTCTCACTACACCCGTCGACATCATGCCCGAAAATTAGATGCCCAGGTCCTGCCATGAAGATTCAGCAGAGCAACTGTTATCACGTGCAGAATCATAGATCCCGGAAGGAATCCAATCACGTGGTTCTGGAAAAAAAGGTCAGCTTCAGCAACATAAGGCAGTATGTGGTATCAAGAGTGCATCAAGCAAAGGTGACATGCTCTGCAATGAAGATGTCCTTGCTCAGGTCTGTGTTTGCCCATCTTGTGGCACGAATGATGCACCAGCCAAATGCCATCGACAATGTGCATAAGACCATGTCCCGGACCTCTGAAAACACAGCGCTACATCTGATCTCTGTCATACACCAAGTGAACAAGGATTCATTGGGAAGTTCCCCCTTGCACTAACTAACAGTCCTTAGTAGGGATGATCATTAGGGGTACTACAATCCCTCCGAAGGACTTTGAGTGTAAGGGGGAACATCCCAAGGGATTCATAAGAAGTTCCTCGCAGCAGAAAGCAGCTGAGAGCGGCCTTCATCCTCCAAGACTGCTCGCTGTAGCGCGGGCGCCAGACGAAAACCAAGGCCAGCGAGCCCACCTTAGATGTCCCAGTCCTTACTCTTACGATTATCATTATTCTTATTACTATTATTATTATGACTATTATTACTACTGGTATTATTATTGCCATTACTATTAGTTTTGTTGTCTTTATTATGTTTATTCTTAGTATTTACTGCTCCACGATGACGTCAGGACGCTGTTGGAATATAAAAAAACCCAAGGTGCAAGGCCAAGACACAAAGAGCAAAGCTCCCAAGACGAAAAGGATGATGGCTTTTCCAAGGTTAACCGTGGATGGCAATTGGAAGCCTGCGGCTGCAGATGAAAAGGCCATCAATCTTCCATTGGCCTAGAGCTCACCATCGTTGAAAGCCGGGCCTTCGAAATCGCTATCCGCACCGGACACAGCGAACGCCAGGCACAAGATCAGCAGGTAGGAAGATGACAGGGACAACACCTAAGCAAGCCAACCCATTGCTGGGTAACCACGACCAGCAATGCTCTGCCCAAGCATGTTCTGGGTGGCTGTGGCAGATATTGTAGTGACCGCAGCGACTTCGAACCAAAAGCATACGTTAGCAAGGCAGACTCAGAAAACGAGCACACATGCAGTTTACAAAAAACACGGAACTCAGGCTATCTTGGGGCACAACTGGCGCCACATTGCATCATTATGTAACTGAAAGATGTCGAGGCTCATCAACTTCAATGTCATCGACCTCGTCAAAGTACAGGTCAACGAGTTTTTCCGGCTTGCCACCGCATCGTACCATCCTTCTGCGGCAGACATATCGAACCCTGATAGCAGCTCACAAAGCAAATGAAATGAACCGGTGCTGAACTGAGCTAGACGCTCGACAACCCGGAATACGAGGAAGAGGAATGCTACATGAATGATCACTGACAGCCTCAGCTGGGTGAATCAGAACCATGTGCAGTTGCTTCTTGACACAACTGACTCGAGAAGACACAAATGCCCACGCTTTGCTGTCAAGATGCAAGGTGCAAAACACATTCTGCTTGAAGAATGGTAGGTGTTGTAGCATGACCTTTGTCCACCATCACCTTCTGCCTACTGCATGCAAGAAATCTGCATGTCGTGAGGAGTCAACAGCTGATGCGTTGCCTTCTGCCGAGGCACACCTGCTCGTATGGCTGCGAAGGCCGTCGTGTGGGAAAGAAAAGCTGCTAGGGTCTTCAAGCCTCAGTCCAGTACTTGAAGATTGATTTCGACATCGATGCTGCTTGCGACCTGAAGCTCGCTCCTCCTTGAGGGGCACCTCTTCTAGTGGTGACATGGCCTAGTGGTGGTGACTAAAGGGATTCAAGATGTCAAGTGTTCAAGATTCCCGCAATTCATGCCGTCCCATCAGGTACCTACGTGCCACCGCGCGTGAAAGTGAAAAGGAAAAGGAAACAAGTCAACCCTGGATGCAAAGTTAGGCCGTCCAGTTGCGAAGCTCTATCATCTCCAGCGTGAGATTCCGATGCCTGATCACGACAAGAACAACAAGAACAACAATAACGACAATCACCAGCAGTGCGACGATCCATCACTCTCCTTCCCAGGCGACGCCTGAGAAAAAGTGGATATCTGTCATCATCTGTACCAATGGCACGGCCCCATCCTTGGCCGAAGATCCACAATTTCAACAGGCAGAAGCCGCAGGCAAGCATTTGCTTAGCTCACACGCAGAACATCCACAGCCCAGAAACGCTTGTAGACAATGCAGCGGGGATCGACCACGGCCTTGCACGTGCATCTCCACTATACTCAGATCGTGGAACAGAATGCCTCGACATCGGACGCTGCCAGCTCCTGAAACCGTCTGCCTTGTGGCTGGCCATCGTCTGATCATCGATCACCCAGTCTTCCTGATTACACAACGCAGGCCTGCGCTGACATCTACGGTCCCGAAGTTCAACACTCGCTTGAGACATGGCGCAAATTCCAAGTCTTCTTCGTCGATGCCAGCACATAGCAAGCCGGAAGAGAAACCTTCCGACTCTCAAACGACAGCCGTATGTAAAAAAGAAGCAGCTTGCCTACAGCCAGCTGCATGAGGACGAAGAACACCAGGAACCTGACATTGTTTGCATGAGCAAAAGTGCCAGCAGAGGTGTTTGTAATCTGTGCTACTGCGCCAAGGTCATTCGAGCGACAGCCCATAGTAGAAGACACATCTGAAACCTTGGGCAGACAACTCGCAGCACATTCGCTGCAGACCGAACCTGCGCCCCGAAGCAGCTGATGAGAAAGTAAGTAGCAGGAAGAATGCTTGCAAGCTGCCCACACTTGCGTCACTGGGGATGACAAATCCCTCCAATAATTTCGCAATCTTGTGGAAAAACAGGAAGGAGCCCAAGATGGACAGGGCTGTGCCTCAACTACCCATTTCAAGCACCCTCAGCATCAAAGCAGAAACACCCAAGAAGGTCAGGCCATGCCAGCAACTCATGCAGTAGCGCACTGTACCTGTCTGCAGCTTGGGCACCGATGACAATCCAGCCATAGTACCGTACGCCATCATCTGGCCAGTGGACAACGTACTGTGTCCTGAATGAGGAAGCTCCAGCCAACATATTATGACAAGGAACGGGCTCCCACGTGCTGCCAAGAATCACCACCACGAAAGCCAACACGCAAAGCAAGGTGTATGCGACACCCTCGCCCTCGCCCGAAAACTCCTCACACACGAGTCTGCATGCTCTAAACACCCAGAAGAGAGCTTCTTGCATCTTATTGCCACAACACACGCAGCTCCTCCCGCTGCACCTCGGCACAGGAAGAAGGGCTTTAAGGGCTTTCAGGGCCTTAAAGACAGACCACCTCGAGTTTTCAATCCTCTATCAACTGCCAAGGCACTTCTTTGAGCTCCAACTTCGACTGCGGGATAGCGGTGGTGACCTCAAAAGACGGCAACGGAGAGCCGGGAACTTCTCGGTGTAGGCCAAAGTGGACGAAGTCAAGACCAAGTTGGCGCGAAGCAAGACAAGTCGAGGCATGGACCGATATCTGATGCGTGCGAAAGAAGACAAGAGGATAACCGCAAAACGAAAGCTACTTGTACTGACTTCACAGGTCGGGTAAGCTCACCTTCTTAGGGCGTGTTGCTTCCACACACAAGCTGAAGCGCACACACACACGCACACAAACACTGTCACACCCTTCTCCCCCGTGCCTGCGGAACTTCTGGTATCCAATATCCGAACTGCCGAAGCGCCACTAACCGCTCAGCATACTTCAGGTTCGAGTTCGATGTTCAGCTGCACAGGTGAATGGGCGGACAAACTTTTTACTGGTCTCTTGTCTGTCTCCAACATCCCAAACATTCGCTCATGCTGCGGTTTGTCTTCCACTCTGCCCTTGTGCCACGAGGGAATTAGCCGCGGACCTGCTGTAGCTGCAGTTGACGATCAAACCTTCATTTGGAGACATAGTAAACCTCTCACTTACATTCCCTGCGCAGTTCTGGAGTTTTATTGCCCGGCCTGTCAACTAGACCCTCGTCCAGTGGCTCAGCCCATGTGGCAAGACAGAAGAGTACCTAGCAGAACCACTTCCGAATGTGACAAACCATGCACGAAAACATGCCTCACGTGGGATGTAAGCACCGCACAGGACACAGGAGCGAGCGTGCAATGGGGCCATGATGCCACATAGGAACCACCGTCCTCGTCTGCCGCCCTCAAACAGCTTCGGAGTTCGAGGATACAGACCAGGCTTGTGGTAAATGCCCGATTTTGCACCATGGAGCGTGCAACGTCGCGCGACTTTCTGAAGAAATGCTCTCTGAATTGCGCGTAGGTCTTGTCGAGAAATACTCCTGCTGTTTGCGGAGACCTCGTTTACGAGTCATGTCATTCTTCGCGCACACATAGCTGGCAGGATTGCTTTCAATGTGTTTTCATGATATGTTCAAAAGTTAATGCCTACAAAACCATCACGCCTATACCAGCAGTTCACTCACGTGGATTCCACTGTAGTTGCTACCGAATGCAGCCATGTGTTTCAAGTGCCGCCAGCCCGGAAGCGATTGAAAACACTTCCCGGCTTGGTCAATATCACGACCTATCGCACACAAAAGAGCTAACAAAGAAGTTTTGTACTGCACATTACCGCCTTGCCGAAATCAGCATTTGCTTTCGAGAGCCGCATGCTGACAGGCAAAGTCAAGAACGTGCTGCAACGTTGCAACATGAACTGTTCAGCCTATCTTCGTGCTGACAGGCCGAACATGCCTCATACATGCAGGAAACCGCAAGCTCAGGGCACACCCTGACCTTGCCAAATCGCTTTTGTACACAATGTACAGGCACCATGCATCCTGCTGCTGCATGTTGCCGGGGAAGAGTATGGGCACAGCCGAATTGATTTGGATGCAAGGGACGAATTGCATGACATTACTACCAGCAACTAGAAACCGTCTCCGGGCAGGAATGCCTTCTCACGCTTCTTTTCGGGCTAGTGCGCGAATGCTTTTGTACGTGTGGCACCCCGCCCTTGAAACTCGTGGATCAGAGCAATCTACATATGCTACCAAGTCTCCGAAGCTAAGATGGAAAATCACCCAGCAAGAACCTGCACATGAAAGAAAGCAGATACAAACAAGCGCGTTGATGGCTGTACCAGCGTCAACCAGCCTTGCGCTCAAAGCTATCAGGCAGCTTTGGCATGACGTCCTGCATGACGAAACATCCGATCTTGCCGACAGGCTTCGAAGACTTGAAAACGAACTTAGCTTCTGTTCCGATGCTTTCTTCACACGATGAGACGAGGGTTCTACAAGCGCAAGAAACACAGCCTCGTCTATCCGAGTCCCGCGAAGGCCACTCAGTACCTGGCAAGCTCCGCACAAGCGTAATGAAGCCAAGATGGAGACAAGTTTAGGAGATAGTTTTCCAAGAGCTGAAGACAATCGAGCTGGGTTCTCCCAAATCCGTCGACAACACTATCCTACATCCCTCAAGCAAAACGTTCTCTTACATGGGCCGACTGCACAATCACAGAGCTGAGCTTGATCCCTGTCAGTGTAGACCACACTCACAGATACATCATGCATCCCTTCCCTGCGAGATCTGGGCGCACCATGTTCTGAAATCGATGCACAGGCCAATCATACTTCGGCAAAAACTCACCATGCATACCTGCCCAGACCAGCAGATCCCGTATCATTGCATCGCTGGCACCTGACACCTGTGTCCAAGCCCTCCTGCCTTGGCTGTCAAGATTGGTAAGCCCGACCTGAAGGTTTTCAATGGCGACGACGTCCTTCGGGGATCACATGCCGAATGCTCCCCAAACCGTCTTTCTGGCCCTGGTTTCAGTGCACTCAAGGCAAGAAGCTCCAGCTCTGGGGCCTTTTGGGAAGAGCTGATAGGTCTGACAGGTTCTAGCAGCGCTCCTCGTCGTTGATGTTCGTCACAAAATCCATGAGCGCGTTGCATCTCTCCATGTGCCTATCCCGAGACATCAATCCACCCGCGTGGTGCAGAGTAGGAGCAGCTTGGGCGACGGACTCATCTTGAGAGACTTCTTCTCTCCGTGCCCCAGGAGCCATGAGAAGCGTCAGCTGCTCCTCACCATGCAGTGAATCCATGGCAAGCGCTTGCCATGCAGGTTCATGTCCTCGGTTCTTCCCTGAGTCTTTGAGGGCAGGGTAAGCAAAGTGTACACCTCACCAGGTCAAACTCATGGAGCCCAAAACCAGCACATCCCAAAAAACAACAAAGCTCCCGGCGGAGTGAGGATAGATCGTGACCTGGTATACAGTGTGCTTGAAAAGAAACACGCAACTGGCAGGGCCAACGATGGCAGAGCGGCTGAAACGTTTGGGAAGATGTGGAAGAAGAGCGCCGAGTTCGACCTTACGAGAAAACACCTCCTAGCCCTGGAGCGCGGCCCGGGCCCGAGCTCAGTCATCCACTCCTACGAAGAAAGCACATTGGGGACTTCCGAACTTCGGGGTACCTTATTAGGGTCCTCATTGTGAGGGAATCGGTCCAGATTAAGGGGTCCCCTTATTTTCGCAAACCCCATTGTCGAGTGATCGGCTCTATTGGTCGAAGCCGTCCAAATGCATTGAACTTGTCGCTGTCCTGAGTTGCGGCTTGAGCCGTCTCTCGTTGGATGTGAGAACAATGTTCACAGGTCATATCAGGTCATTCAGCTTCAAAGTTGAGGCCTGTGCTCCAGGTCCGCCACAATCCGTAAGTGGCGACGTGACAAAACCGACATATTGGCCGCCTCCTGATACCAAGTCTAGCGCTGTGGCTTTTGTTTTTTGCTGGCGAGGCTCATAGACGTGAAAAGAACCTGCCTTGATATGGCAAGTGGTCGTCAACGCGGGAGAACCTGCGAAAGCGAAGACATCCCCAATTCATGGCAGGGCAAGTCCCCACCTGGAGAGTGCAGGATGCACGGCATCAATATGATAGAAGTCCACGAAATTCTCGCAGATCAGCTTCCAGTCACCTGCTGAGTTCTCAGGGCCACTGCTACCAAGGCAGCACCAACTCCACCAAAACAAGAACACAACATCTCACAGCTGCCTGCGATGTCGTAGGTCTTCTGCGCATGCATCTCCATGTCGTCCTCGGACGAAGGTGCCCCCATGGACGGTGAAGCTGCATTCCAAAAGAAAGCTGAGCGCAGCACCAAGTCATACCGCTGTAGCTTCGCTGGCAGATCACCCAGAGAGTCGCGAAGCGGAGTAGGGTTCGGTGTCTGGTTAAGGAAGATGATGCCTGCGTTGTGCACAGGGGCTACATTCTTCTCTTCAGCCGAAACTGTATCTCAAAGCATGTAGGAGACATAAACGACGTTGTTACCGCCTGCAAAGGTCTCGAGGCCAGGAACACGAAGCAAACCCAACTCCTCCTTGCGCTCCTTCCACGCCCATGCCAACAGAACAGGGTAGTGATATCAGAAGTCTATGAGAATCAAGCGCACGTCTCGCACAGTCTGCTTCCATATGCTTCCGTGTCAGGCATCCTTGGGCACTGCAGCTGGGGGCGTCGACTTAAGTGAGCCGTCCAGGCGATATGCCCACCAATGGTACGGACAGACCTTAAGAGCACGAGCAGAATTGCGGACCACAGGAGAGAGGACTGGGCACTTAGAATGCGCTTAGGATGCACTTGTGATGCACTTGGGTCACCTGCCAGTTGCTTGCAACCAGATGCGTTTGTCGAACAAACACGGGCCCCGCGATGCCGGCACCTTGACATGAAATGCGGAACCCAAGCCTCGAAGCAAAAAGTGGAGACTCAGCCCAGAACGTGTTGTAAAAAGCGTGCAGCTTGTGGTTCTTGTCACGAGTTAGGATGATGGACTTGGTCCCCACCTCGAGAAGACAGGCTTGGAGCGATATCTCTGTATCGTACAGCCTACTGGGTGAGAGTGTTGCAACACCAGCAGGTTCAGCAGGCTGGATCATGTACCGATTATCTTGACATGCGCTGATTGGCTGGATGAGGCAACCCACGCATGGATCAACTTGCTCCAACTGCCTCGACGACTTTCACATCGCCAGGCTTGGACAACTCGTGGACATGAGCTGCTGCAAACCTTAGAGCATGTTGCGGGAAGTGCATGGCGACGTCCACATCTCACTGTACTGCTTAAAATCAAGAAGCCAGTTCATGCCGAAGATACGCTCCCTTTCGAGCTGCACCTTTTTGCATGTGTTGACGACAAGTTGATGCAGCTGCAACTTCGTTTTGCCATAATATGGCACACTCAGCTTGCCCACAGCGCGAGCTGAGCAGCACGCATATGTCTGATCAGTGTAGAAAGCTGGATGCAAGACCTTCACATGCACAACACGTAGATCCACTGGATGCAACCATACAAGTCTGAGTAGTGAAGCCTTCGCCTGCTCGATGCGCTGTGCAGTTGGACGTGCTAGCGCCTGCTGCAAGCCAGCGACGTCCGAAGCTGGGTAGCCATGGGAAACCTCCTTTTGTTTTTGACACTGCCCCTTCGAAAGATGATACATGATGAGACCAGTGAAAACACGTTGTCTTCCAATGATGTTGACATCTTTGATGCTTCCAGGGCATCACCTTGCGTAAAGCACACAACGCTCTACAATCCCAACTACGGAATGCCACTTCGTTTATCATCCACTTCGTTTATCATTCTGGCCGACAGCTTTGAAAACCGTCCCTACAAACACAACGTGACCCAAGCGGAACCTCCAAGCGGTCAGGCAACTGAAGCACGTCCATGTCTCCTGCATACAGCTGGAGCTGGGAACCCTTTGCGCCATGCTCAACACTGGCCATTGCACCATTCTCAGCACTAGCCCTTCCAACGAACACGACAAGACCCGTGGTGCATAAACGAGGTCGGTCCAGACCCTGCCGAATAGGGTCGATATCTGCATGCCGCGAGTGCCCCTCGCATCAAACCGCTCGGCCTGACAAATGCACGTCAACGTCACACTGTCGCAATTGACAGCACATGTTTTCGCACTGATGTGCTTGCACAAAATGCCTGCTCATATGCCGCGTCACCTCAAGCTCACAAAGGATGCTCTTGTCATGCATGCAGCAAAAACGAAAATTCAACTCAATGACTCAATGACACAATGACACAATGATTCTCCAAGACACAAGTCGCGCAATCATGGTTGCAAGTCCAATATACCAATGGCCTGCATCCGGATCGATATTAGAATCAAGTGCTGTGCTTCTGACAAGTGCTGCAATCTTTGCCTGATCCACACTGGAGCTGCCGGTAGGAAGTTGCCAGTTTTGGCTTGGGCAAGAAACATACAAATCCAACTTTTGAAACATGAAACGTGTACGTATTTGTACGCAGAACAAATTTCAGTACGGTCCAAAACTTCTGGCATCCACTAAATTAAGCACGATCGTAAAATCGATGGACATTTGGGCAAGCATCACATCTTGCAGACGACACAAAAATCGACCAAACCTGGTGCCGACAACGACACCACATCCGAGGACCCTTCTTGCCATCACTGCTTGTGTGCTTGCGATTCTTGGGAATACTTGCAAATGCTCTTTGGCATGGTGCTTTTCGGACACACCTTGCTGCACAACGCACGACCTGCAAACCTTAAGCCTTAATTTCAGCGCCAGCAGTCTGTGTTTTGCACGCCAACCTTCATCCCCAAACCCCCGACCAAGCCCAACGAACACAAACCGCCTAGTTAAGCATCTGTGAACCCTGTTCACCGGCCAACAAGTTGCATGCTTGTGTAAGGTTTCACCCATTATGTGCATGTCTATTCAAGAAGCATGCTACACGAAATTCAATATTTTTTGTGATGCAGTGCGTCTCAGGACAGGCAGAGGCTTCTTACCACTGGGACTTAACATTTTCTGGCTGTTTCAACAGTGGACAAGCACGCATTAAGGTGCAAAAATCGCAGCCCGATTCACAAGTGCCGGATCAAGGTTTTCTGACCACGCCATTCATAACTTTTAAGATTTCATTCCATATGCCTTGCGTCACAATAAATCATCTCATTGCAAATACAAGGGCACGTGTGGTCCGTACGCACCCGCCCAAAGCCAAGTCGCAGGTCCGCCCAACAAGCACCCAACAAAACACACCCAAGGAAACGCCCTATGGCGGAAAAGGCATTCCGCTTGGAAACAGCCCCTAAACGGGAAACGGCCCAAGGTTGGAAACAGCCAAGCGGAACGCCTTTCGACGGGCACTTTTACGACAGCTCTTTGACATTGCAACTGAACATTTGGGGCGTGGGCTGCCAACACTTGGGGATTGCTTTGGACTTGCTGCAGGCTTATGTCCAGGTGATGCCAGATTGTTAGTTGAGAAATGTTGAGAAGCAGTTTTACGCTTGGCGCCCCAAGTGTAAGTAGAACCAGAGTGTGAGTAGCAAGCAAAATCCAAATTGTTCTTGTTTGACGAATATTCTCAACCAAAGAAGCTGAAAACAAGATGAGTCTTACTAACTTTTTGCAACTAAATCAACCAAACTATTTTTTTAATAAAGACTCTAAGAACAAATTCAGGTTGAGACCACTACGAAGAGCTGAACAACAACCCAGCAACACCTTAAAACAATGAAATTCAACTTAAATACCTTGAAAAGTGCTGAAACCTGCGTCTTTTTGTCGGGTCATTTGTACAAAAGGTTTGTGCGCGCATTTTATGTGCCTGGAATTGTAAATTCATCAATTTAGTTATTCTTGTATTTCCGATCTTTTTTCATTGATTTTTTGTCAAAATGCAGTAGGTGCACTTCGACGCACTCTCCAACAGCCCAGTGTTTGTATGATGGCGTTTTCCGCAAGGTGTCTTCTCCACATAGGGTCGATTCCATGAAGGGTGTTGTGTCAGTGCGCCTACAAGATTGGGCACGGTTGCAGACGTCACGTTCCCCCTCTCACAGACATGTGTAGATGCCATCGGCAAGCATGAAACTGCTTTGCAGAATCTCAACAATGATCTGGCATGATCTGGTGGACATGAGCCTGCAACAAAGCTCTCGACCTCGTCCCCTCTCTCAACTTCCGCAAGCAGACACGGACATGCGCAGACAGTAAGTCCAACATTTTTCTGCCCACCCGCTCTTGTTCAGCTCTTCTATGGCATATTCTTGGAACGTCCAAGCTCCCACCCCGCCATACCCCAAAATCTCCAATCTCCCCTCAACGGGGTGGAGGTTTATGACATAAACTGAAATGGAAGATTGACATTGCCAAAAACAAAAAGCAATGACCGCAAGAAATGGAGAAAAGTAACAGAAAAACACGTGATTTTAAGTGGTTTTTCTACAGAGTGCGAAAGGTAAATTAAGAGAAAGACGAGTGCATGGGATTCTGTGGATGAACACGAAACCAGAAGACAGGAAATTTGAGGTCTAGAGAGCGTACTGATGAAGAGAACACGCGTTTAATGTTCTTTTCATAAGGCTGTGAAGTTAGAGTTTTAAAGGCGTCTTTTATAATGCTGTTTACGGGCCCTTGGCAAACAAAATAGTAAAGCTAACATGAAATGCATGAAATTATGAACGAAACTACGAATTAATGCATGAATAAGTAAGCAAAGTGAACCTGCAAAACAAAGGAGCGAAATAAATGCCAACGAAGTACAGTAACAACAGTGTTCTGGCAACTCTACGCGGTTCATTGCGTTCACATTATTCATGCGGTTCATGCGTTTACTGATGATAACGAGCGACCGCATGAATTACGCGCATGAATAAGAAGAACAACAAATAAAAAGCAAAATATTCTTTCTCTTTTTCCTTTCCTACTCTCTTCTTCTTTTTTCATGTTTCGTTTATAACATTGTTACTGCGGCCCGCACGTAATGCTTTCGCAATAATTTTATTCTCTTCACCGTTGTCATATTATTCTTTTAACGAGCACACTTATGATCACAAATGATAAAAGAAAATAGACATATAAAAGCCTTTTAAAAGGCAAGGCAATAACCGCGCTTTTGATGCAATTTTTGTGCTTTTCTCACGGGCGAACATAAGATCTTTTCACTTGGCCGTAATTTCTTTTTACTGGACTCTTCATTCTAATTGTCTTAGTTTGCTTGTTGAATTTGAATTTATTTTCATGCGTGCGCTTAACGATTTTTAAAATGTGCACAAGACCAAAACAAGAAACGAGGAGGATGGAATTTAAATGAATTCGCTGGTTGACCGTTAACAAGACATGGACCAAAAGCTCTGGCGTAAGTGGAAGGTTTAAGGTCAACAAGTTGACAAGACTCCAAAAGTCTGCTTAAACAACTTGCTGCTTCACCTAAGGTCAACGTAAACCAAATCACGTTTGGGAAAAACATGAGAAAAAATTGGGGAAGTCGGTTCCTCCAGGACAGCAAGATGCCAAATGCCTTTCCAATGTGATAAAGAGTTCTTTCAATTTTTGGCAGACATTCCAGTTGGTCCATTTGTGTTTAAACAGCAAGAGACCAAGTAAGAGAATTGAAATCACAGCAGAGAATTTGTCTAAATTTGATCTTCCTCGTTTCTTGTGTCTTGTTTTTAGCAAATCGAGGGAAAGGCAAAGAGGGGACTGCACACAAAAAACCCCACTAAGGAATTCTTCTTTTCTTCTCTATTTTCAGTAAATTCAAGAAACAAAACAAGAACGAGTAGGGTGGAATTTAACACAATTCTCTGCTCTTCTTCAAGGCTTGAAAGAAGGGAGGGGTCTTTAACTTTGTTTTTCGAATTGTAACTTTAAGAAAGGCTTGGAAGGCCCAAAGGTCTTTGAAGGCCTTCAAGTCTTGCTCTGAGAACATTTGTTTGGCGCTTGCATTTGCTGAAATGGTATTGAACTATTAGTACCCCCCCCTGACCCAGTGTCCAGAGCAAGGTCTTGGCAACCTTCTCCAAGAAGGAGAGCGGAAGGCGGTGGTGAGCATCAATGGGGGGCTTGTGTGGGGCTGTGTCACTGCGAGTTGTTGGACGAACCAGATAAGCTTGGAAGTCTGGCGCAAGAGCTGGTCACGTGCGAAGAAACAGATTTGGAGTTGGCAAACATGTGTGCAGTGCTGCAGTACAGAAACAAAACTGAAAAAATCACTCAAAAAACGCAATTGTCCTGATGTGGCCTCAAACTGTCTTGGTCTTGCTTTGTTGCGGCCTTTGTCTGTAAACCACACGTTTTTGTGGTCTATGCAAGCTGCAGCCGCGGCGGACAAACCAACCTTATTGAGGTCAAAACTAAGGAGTTTTGGATTAGGGATCAAGTTCACCAAACCCTAGCAAAGTAGCACATTGGCCAAGCTCATATTCTGAAGTTTCTCGTGCACCAGCCTGGCCATCAAGCTTGCACTCCAAGGTCTGTTGCGCACCATACTTACGCACCCCAAGATTGTTGCACCCGCTGATGTCAAGCTTGCTCCAAACCAAAGTTTGCCGCGCACCACGCCAACAATCTCGCACCTCAAAAGGTCTGTTGTGCACCACGCTGGCCTTCACATTTGCATTCCGAAGATGCTATTAAAACTTGCATTCCAAAGTCTGTCGCACCAAGCTGTAAGATTGAAAATAGGCTCTTGTTGGCCTTCGACGCACAGTTTGCGCCGCCTTCGCGCGCAGGTGGTCGGCCAGTAGTTTTGGGCTCCCCCCGAACTTACCTGGCTAGTGTTGGGCGGAGATCCAGCAGCTCGCTCTCATAGGGTCGAGCAGTTCACTGCACTCTGAGGCCTGTAACGCCTTAGGAGTCTCCGATTCTGCCAACTGTCGGGGGTTCAAACTCGAACC